TAATAATAATAATAATAATAATAATAATAATAATAATAATAATAATAATAATAATAATAATAATAATAATAATAATAATAATAATAATAATAATAATAATAATAATAATAATAATAATAATAATAATAATAATAATAATAATAATAATAATAATAATAATAATAATAATAATAATAATAATAATAATAATAATAATAATAATAATAATAATAATAATAATAATAATAATAATAATAATAATAATAATAATAATAATAATAATAATAATAATAATAATAATAATAATAATAATAATAATAATCCAAAAAAAAACGTAAAACAAACCCTAATTAGGGTTTGAAAGGATAAAAAGGGTATAAACTAATTAGGGGTTTTTATGCATAAGTTCCCCACCAACCATCTTTATTATTATAGATTCATAGGTTATATCTCTTTCGCTAATAAGCTCATCATTTAAATATGTATTATAAATAAAAGAAAAGTTAATGTATATGCCAAAATTACCCCCAACATTTACAACCAATTCTTAACTGTAATCTCAGTTTTAATCAATTTTGACCACTAAAATTCAATTTTGACTTTTTTTTGAAAAAAAAAATTCCTGAAATTATTTTTTTGCCATCGGTTTTCGGCGTTGATTTTTTCAATTTTATGTTCTTTTCTGGTCTGCTTTTTCAACCGCTGGTTCCCGGCGTTGGCCGTCGGTCCCCGGCGTTGATTTTTTCGATTTTTTTTCCCTAAATATTTTTATCCGTTTTTTTACCCCACCGCTAAACGTTGATCATAGTTGTACTATCATTAACAGTAATTATAATGTCACGTCTGACAGTTAATACAGTACATTATCGTAATTGTACTGTCATTGACAGAATATTAACGTAATTGTACTGTCGTTGACTGTACAATGAGAATCAGCGACAATATTATTATTTTTTGGCTTTTATTTATTTATTTATTTATTTATTTTGTTTGATTTGTTGATAAGTCAACGTAATTATATTAATGTCGTTGACAGTAAAATAGCTGTAAACACAATAATATTACTCTTAATCACATCAACGTTATTATTTTATGGAATTTTTATTTTATTTGAGTTGTTGACGGGGCCCTAGCTCAAGACTACTGGGACGACCTCCCAGGGCCCAGTTTTGCAAGGGGACTATTTTCAAATAGTAACTGTGTTTACTATAGCCTAGTTTTTGTTTAAAAAAAAAATCATTCATGATTAATTCTTAAGAAACCGACACGTAGCACGAGAATACCACGAGAATACCACGAGAATACTTTCTCTCTCCCACGTGCAAGCACATCTCTTTTTTTCTTCTTTTTTCTTGTTTTTGTAAATAATTATTTCTTAAATTTTATTATTATAAATTTCTCATTCTCATTTTCTCTTTTCACACAGCTCCTTTCCACTTTTCTCTTTCACTATCTCTCTCTTCAAACAAACAGAAATCTATTTTTTTATAAGAGCGGATAAATTTATTTATCTTGAATATTATTTTATCGTATTGATAGAGAGGCTTATATCGATACACCTTTCAATTAAATTTTTATAATTGTACACTGTTTTTTTTTCAAACATTTTGTACTATTATAATTGTAACATATTTTTGTTTATTTTTCTTAATTATCATTTTTTGTTTGTTTTTATTGGAAGACAAAGACTAAAATGATTTAATGTAATTTTTTTTCTTTATTTTATAATTAATATATATATTGAAACCTCTTGGTCCAAGTACCATACCTAAAGACTTTAGTTGAATTATTATGAATGTATGTTTTAACCCCATAGGAAAGTAGTAATTTTAGCTATAGTATAAAATCAACATCAAAAGTTCATTCTTTTAAACCGAACAAGCATCTTTTCCCCGTGCAATGCATGGAATCGTATTTTAAAAGTAAAAAAAATTAATCAAGTAATACATAATAAAAAAATATAATACACTAACATAGTCAAATTTAAGAATGTAATGCTATTCATATTTTATATAACATTAGTATTTTAAATCTTATGTAGTAAAATTTATAATCTAAACAAATTTATTCATATTTTATATAACATTAGTATTTTAAATCTTATGTAGTAAAATTTATAATCTAAACAAATTGGTTAAAGAATTTATATCGTTATCTCTTAAGATTTGAGATATATTAATGAAAAATAGGAGATCGGAGTTATAAGAATTCTTCACGGTTCAGTTTTAATTTTGATAATTGTTGAAAATTAGTACACAAAAAATATTAAAAATAAATAATTACAGAAATGTCATTAGAGTTTGTTAGGGTTGCCTAGTGTTTCTTTTTTTTATATATAAGATTATATGAGTCGTCAATGTTATACAAGGGCACAAAAAATAAAATTCGCCCAGGCCCTTGGTGAGCCAGGGTCTGCCGTGATTGACGGAGTAACGTAATTATATTACTGTCTATTATTGTAATATTACTGTAAACACAATAATATTACTGTGGTTGACGGTAATACTACTGTTGTTACAGTAATATTACTGTCAACCACATCAATATTAATTCTTTCTTTTTTATTATGTTTACCTTGTTGAACGGTCAACATATTAATATTACTCTATTACACAATGATAATGATTTTTGTTGTGTTAATTTACAATGATAATGATTTTTGTTGAATTAATCCCCGTGCATCGCACAGGTAAGTTACTAGTACATCAATATTATTGTGTTAAACTGCAGTATAGTTAATATTACTGTGTTTAATAGTAATATAGTGAATATTATTGTCATCTACAACAATATTGTTGTTTAAAGGGGGGCAAAAAGATGTTAAATAAAATAAATTCAAAAAAAAAGAAAAAAAAAAATTAACGCCGCCGGAGACAGGCGTTGACCGCAGGCCAGCGGTGGTTGAAGAAGAAAAAAAACTGAAAAATTCAACGCTGGAAACCGGCGGAAAAATCAGAAAAAAAAAAAAGAAGAAACAAAAAAGTCAACGTCGGAGAGCAGCGGTCAACGGCGCGACAAGCGAAATTGTACTCAAAATTGCGTTTTGGATCAAAATTGAATAATTTGTGAAATTTGGATCAAATTGAGGTTAAATTAAATTAAAGTTTGAAAATGGAGCATATTAAAATGTGACGGGCTATTTTAGTGTTTTACAAAACTCTGAACAATGTGTGGACTGTTTTGTAAAAAAAAAATTTGTTTGAACCCCTTTATGAATAAGTATCCATTGATGGGCTTATTTGTAATATGCACAGCTAATTATTTGAGCTTACATCAAATGAAATTTACAACTAATGAATTATACAAAAATATATAAAAATAAAAACTTGGACTTATCATGTATTATGTAAGCTAGTGAAGGAGCTACTTCAAATAAACCCGTATAACGTAACTATTACTAACTGACATAGATAAACCATATTTTTATTAGTAAGCATAGATAGTCGAAATTCAGAGTGTGATAAAAAAAATTCAATCGAAGAAATTTGATACTGATTAACTAAAGGAAGAGTTTTTTTAATTATATTTTTGATAATAATATACGTTAAGATAATTAAAAACTAATTTTACAATGTCATGTTGGTATCATTTTTTTTCCATTAATGTTATCGTATGTGCATTTAGATTATTTGTTACAAAATTGACATTGATTTAAACTTGTCCATGTTATATTTGCCAATAGTTAATAATATAATAATTATTTAATGTTCGTAAGTCACTATTAGTTTATATTAATTAACAATTAGTTTATATTACCCAATTGTTTTTTAAAGTTTGACCTTGCCAAGAGATACTTTTATCTCTTCAAAAAATTGGAAGAAAGAAACCACCATAAAATTCCTTTTTTTATATATAGACAAGTGAGATAAGTAATAAGTATAGATATAGACTATCTGCTAAATGAGATTGCATCATAAGGACTTTTTAGCAATTTTAGAGGACTTTTTAGCAATCACTCAAAAGTTCGGCGAATTTTATAGAAATGGAGGCACATATCGTAAAATAGAGTAAACTGCAAAAAGTATCCCTGTGTAATCTCTAAATAGCAAAAACCCCTTTATGATAAATAAACTAGCAAAAACCCCCTTGTGAAATTATTTAAATAGCACACTCGGCCCATTTCTCATTTGAGTGTTGACTTCACATAAAAAGACACAAATACCCCCGGGATTTTACAATTAATAAATTCTTATGTTTTTGAAATATTTTAATTATTTTATTTTTGTTATATCTTAATTATAAAGGTACAATGGGGTCTTTAATTTATTTTTATTTCTACTATCACATAATTTTTGTATATATTTTAAATTATCGCTACATCAAAAGAAAACTTAAATTCCATTATTATGTATTTGAAAAAAATCTATACTTAATTTAATTAATAAATTTTCAATATTTTTTAATTTAATTATTTACTATTTTTTTAACAATATTTTAATTTCTAAACAATCAAAGTAAAAGGAAAATACATATACATACAAATACATTTTTAGGGTCAATTTCGTCATTTCACGTCCAAAAACCAACTTACAGTTGCGCAACCCGCGAGTGAGCCACACTTACGTCAACCGGGGGTTTTTTGCCTTTGACTAAATTTCACAGGGGGGTTTTTGCTAGTTTATTTATCACATAGGGGTTTTTGCTATTTGGAGATTACACAGGGGTGCTTTTAGCAGTTTACTCCGTAAAATATCAAGTGAAATAAATTATTACATACGAATCAATTAGTATTCTAAGAAAAGACCAAAAAAAATTATAAGGAATTAACACACAACTAATTACAAATGTGCACTAAGTAGAGCACCACTCTCGTGCAAGCAAACCACACAAAATGTAAACCATCATTGACTCGATTCGAACCGGGTAATTTGGTTTCCAATATCTTAATTAGGTTGCATATAGTTTGATTTGGTCGTTCTTCTCGAAGTAAGGCATGTCACTACGATTCAAATGCACCCACGCCTCCAATCCACCGTTCTCTTTGCTATCCATAAGTACAATTATGTTCGGTCGAGAAAACGCCCCGATTCCAGCCCCCACGGGCTTCCCCCATCCAAAATCCGCTTCGTAAAATCCAAACTTGCTCCAATCGCTAAAAGCAAAAACATTCACCTCTCCCCCCATCGATTTTCCCCTCACATTCACCAAAGGCTCCATAATTATACTTTTCACGTCCCGACCCGTTGGAGAAAATATTTCAGCACAATCATAGACGGTTTTTTCGAGGCCGTCGCCTAGTATATCAACCAATTCTTGAATATTATTATTATTATTATTCCCAACAACGGTGTTTGGAATCATGCACCGTGTGGGCGACAGTATTACCCAATTCTGACAGGAATGTTTGGGAAGAGGCGGAAATGTTCTCCCACGCATGTTGACCGCCTGAGCGATGAGGCAAGCTCTCGATTTCCCGCTGTGCTTCGCCCGGTCCACTCCGATCATGGCCTCCGCTATGACCGCGGACACCACGCGCACTCTCGAGTTTTCTGGCAACCTCAATTTCGATCTCAATCTCGTTATAGCCTCCTTGTGAAACGAAAACCTCTTGACGACAATGTTGGGATCCCAACACGTTTTTATAGGATCGCCTCGACTAATGTAGCTGCCCGAAAAAAACTCAGGCGGAGTGTCGAAACTCGGTCGGATTTTGATGCTCCCCACCATCCCTGGATTTTTGTTGGCGTTCGACCAAACGGCGAGGAAAGTCCCCACGGAAGACGCGTCGAAAATTCTATGAGAAACACTGACGCTGACAACGAGCCCGCCGCACTTGAACCTTGTGATCCGAATCGAGAGGAGTGGGTCGGTGGGAGATTCGTCCACTTGGTGAAATTTAGGTGGGAGAAAATAATCATTTAGCAACTTCAAGTCCCTTTCGGATGCCAGAATGACATCACTTAGCGTCACATCGTCAGCAACTTGTGCTTCTACGAATTCGGCGCCCGAATCATCGCAGTCGACCGAGTGATCCTTCTTGATGTATCTTCCCGCGAGTGGGTAGAATTGGGGTAGAATTTTGGATAGTGATTCTTGAAAATGAGTTGTTGTTTGTTTTGGATATTTTGGTGATATTGAGTTGTCATATAGGAGAATTACTCCAACATTCATTGGAGGGTTAAGATTATCCATGAAAGATATCTTGTGATTTCTAAGGCTTTGAGGAGTTGGGGAGCATGGTTTTATCAACTTGGTGCTAACTATATTCACTTTCATGGTTAAATTAAATGTAATGGATGGGTGAAGGAAAATAGATATCTTGGTTGATGGTTCCAACTTTGTTGGGGCTTCTCTTTTATAGTGAGAGTTGGGGGGTAAAATGGGAATATTGACATTTTTAGACTTTTTTAGTAGGTGTAAATTACGATGTAACGTGAAAGTTATGCGCGATTGCAAATTGCAATTTATATATATTTTGATAGTGACGCAATCTGACTTTCATAAAAGTAGGAGAACAAAGAGTTGAATATATCTTTCATTAATATTTTATTTTCAACTTAGTTTGAATCCATCGATGTTCATTTGAAAAATGTTACGATCAAAATATTTTACATGGGTTTGGTATGGCGAGAATAGTAAAGTTATATAATTGTAATATTTTAATTTGAGTTAGGTTGTTGTAGGGGTGGTAAACGAGCCGAGCCGACTCGTGAGCTCGACGAGCCGGCTCGTAAAAAGTTCGAACTCGGACTCGAGGTTCTCGAGCTCGCGAGCTCGAGCTTTCTGACGAGCCGAGCTCGAGCCGGATTTTAGTTGTTCATCAGCTCGCGAGCTCGAGCTTTCTGACGAGCCGAGCTCGAGCCGGATTTTAGTTGTTCATCAGCTCGCGAGCCGGATTTATTATTATTTTTTTATTTTTTTAGTTTTTATATGTTATTTTTATTTAAATAATGTATAATAATATAAAATATTATAGAAATAAATACAAATATTAAAAAAATAAATAATCACAATTTAGTTTTTATTTTGTATTTTTTAAAAATATTTTTTAATAATAAAATAATAAAAAATATTTTAAAAAAAAATGAGATTGGGCTCGAGCTCGAGCTCGACAAAATTAACACGAGCTCGAGCTCGAGCCAAAAAAAGAAGAGCTCGAGGAGCTTGAGCTCGGCAAAATAGACTCGAGCTCGAGCTCGAGCCAGCCAAAAGAGGCGAGCTCGAGTTCGGCTCGTTCACACCCCTAGGTTGTTGCGTACACATTAAGAAAATTAATAAATAATAGTTATAGTGCATGACATATAAAGTTACTAAAATATCCTTGGCAATAGATGTTTTTCGAGTAATTAATTAAGAGTAATAAAGGGTAAAATTAAAAATAGTGCAATTAATACTTTATTGAAAATTTAAAATGTCAAATGATTGGTGATAAGAAAAACTCTCTAAAAAGATACTCCCTCCGTCCAATTTTATGTCTGTTTTTTAGAAAAACTCTCTAAACAGATACTCCCTCCATTTCTCTGTATCGCCGTTTCCGTGTCCGTGCTATATAGCTTAAATATCGTTGTAATTAATTAATTTTCAGTTAATTAATTAAAAATAATAAAGGGTAAATTTGAAGACAGTGCAATTAACACTTCATTGGAATTGTCAAGTGACAAATAATTTTGAAAAAAAAAAACTGTTCAATGAGATAAATAATATAGAACATATAGAATTTCGGAAAAGTGTAGACCACAAAAATTTGTAGATGTTGTGGATATACTTCCAATTCAACTTTAATCAATAGAAGTTGGCAAGAAAAGGACATAGCTAAAATACTTGGCTGTCAATTTGACCCGAAAATTTAATATTAATATATTTTAATTTTAATATAGTAGACTTATTATAATTGTGATAATTTAATATTGACTAAAAACCAAATATTAATATTTGCAATCCAGAAAAGTTGATAAACCCGTGGGAACGAAATTAAGACATTTTGGATTGATATGCAATTTTTCTAACTTGTTGCGCTGAGTAAAAATTCGATGATTCCAATTTGATGTTTGTTATGTCTTACCGTTAATCACTAATATATTTGTGTCATCTGTATCACAAGGGGTTATGTAGAAATCCTCAGTAATCAAAATAATGTTGCAATTTGATTCAGTATATAACTCTGGTACATTTGATTTAATTTATTTATTTTTTTTTTTTTTTTGAGAAACAAAATCAATTTTCATTATCTAACACATTTCAAGAGAGATTACAGAATGTATTAGAGGAGGAAGATCGAACAAATGATAGTCGCCTTGCTTTGATAGAGATGCTACTTCGTGAGCCACCCGGTTCCCTTCTCGAAGTATGTGTTGGACTCTAAATTCTTCAAAATCTTCGCTAATACGTTTAATATCCATTATGATATTTCCATATCCCGCTCGAGAATCAGACGTTCCCTTTATGGCTGAGATAACCACAGAAGAATCGCCCTCTATGATGACCTTCGTCCAATTCCTTTCGCGAGCTAAATGAACCGCCAAAACAGCAGCTTTGGCCTCCGCCGAAGTAGGATCCAGAGGTTGTCTGACACACTGGGTTAACCACCCTAAGCATACACCCGAACTTGATCTACCGATAACTCCTAATCCACAAACTCCGTCCACACAATTAACTGTTGCATCGAAGTTGATTTTCACTACATCATTTTCCGGGGGTTCCCAACGCACCGAGTTTCTATCACTTCGAACACCGGGCTGAAGCACTACTGATGTGGCAGCATGGAGTTCTTTCCAGTACTTATCCGCGAACGCTACAATTTCGACTGCTTCAGTGTGCTTCCCTTCGAAAATTCGTTTATTTCGAGAATGCCAAATAGCCCAGCATAATAGGATAATTTTTTCAAACATTTTGGAATCAGCTTTCTTTATAATCCCTTGCAACCACTTATATACTTCTATTTCCGTCGTATGATAGATCGCCCTAGGGAGGCCACTCAGTGCCCAAACTTGACGTGTGAAAGAGCAATAGAACAAATTGTGTAAAACACTTTCTTCCCTCTCGCCGCATTTTATGCAACAACAGTCCTCCAGTATCTTTCGATTCTTCAAATTTGTAGCCGTAGGTAGAAGATTTTTACAGGCTCTCCAAAGAAATATTTTGATCTTACTAGGGAGGTTAAGGTCCCAAATCCATTTCCAATTCTCTATATTCGAGGAGTTCGAACTGTTACCTAACCAGCCATGTTCGTCTTGTTCATTTTTAATAGCCAGGTGGTAAGCGCTCTTAACCGAAAAAATACCATTCTTGTTGTAATGCCAAATATATCGATCCGAGTGCAGTTGGGTACCAAGGGGAATGGCCAGTATGGCTTTGCAATCTTCATCGAAGAACACGTCATGAATAATGTCTGATTTCCAATTTCCCGTTCCTTCGTCGATAAGTTCACAAACTTTCATATTCGACGACCAATCACCTCTAGGTGTAAAGACCTGAAAGGTACTTTCTCTTGGGAGCCATTTATCACCCCACACTTTAACTTGTCTCCCATTACCGATACGCCAACGAATACCCGATGTAAGCAGTTTTATCGAGCCCCACAAGCTCCTCCAGGTATATGATGGATTTGAACCCAAATGAGCACCAAGAACATTTGTTGTCGGGTAATAACGAGCTTTAAGAAGCTTACTCAATAAACTATCAGGCTTTTCTAGCAAACGCCACACTTGTTTGGCAAGGAGAGCCATATTAAAAAATTCCAAATCTCTAAAGCCAAGTCCACCGAAATGCTTACTTTTGCACAACTCCTTCCATGTGGCCCAATGTATGCCTCTGCCATGCAAACTTTCCCACCAAAATTTAGCCATATAGCTTTCGATCTCCTTACAAACAGTGACGGGTAGTTTAAAACAACTCATTGCGTATGTCGGAATTGCTTGGACTACTGCTTTAATCAGAATCTCCTTACCCCCTTTAGAGAGCCATTTCTCTTTCCACCCTCGAAGCCGCGAACAAATTTTCTCTCGAACATTAGCAAAGACCTCCCTCTTTGATTTACCTACAACCAAGGGTAGACCAAGGTATTTTTCATGCTTTTCCACCACAACCATAGGCAGGGATTCCCGAATCCTATCAATTATTTGTAGGTTTGTACTTTTACTAAACACAATACTTGATTTGTGAAAATTGACTTCCTGGCCTGAAGCATCTCCGTACTTTTGAAGGATTTCTTTGATACATTTTGCTGAGTTTTCATTAGCTTTGCAGAATATCATCGTATCATCGGCAAAAAGAAGGTGAGAGACCTTTGGAGCTCCTCTACAAATTGCAAGGCCCGATATATTACCATTGTTCTCTTCTCGTCGGAATAGCGCACTCAAAGCCTCTGCGCAAAATAAGAACAAGTAAGGCGATAATGGATCGCCTTGTCGAATACCTCTCTCGGGTGAAAGAAAACCAAACGCACTTCCATTTAAAATGAAAGAATATGTCACTGTTGTCACACATCGCATGATTAATTTGACCAGTCGAGCATCAAGACCTAATTTCAACATAACCTTCTCCAAAAACAACCATTCTATACGATCATATGCTTTACTCATATCAAGTTTAATAGCCATGTGATCCACCACACTTCTTTTCATATAATGTGCAACTTCGTATGCTACAAGAATATTGTCCGAGATAAGTCTCGACGGGACAAAAGCGGACTGCGAATCTGAGATAATCCTATCCATAAAAGGCTTCAATCGATTGGTGATAACCTTAGAGGCTATTTTATACACCACGTTACTAAGGCTTATTGGGCGGAATTGGGCCATAGTTTCGGGACTAGCACATTTAGGAATAAGGCAAATATGCGTAAAATTGCATGCTGAGGGAAACTCCATATGGTTAAGAAAACGTAATATCCATCGGGTTACATCATTCCCTACTATGTGCCAAAAACGTTGGAAAAAAGATAACTGGAAAGCCATCTGGACCCGGAGATTTTAGTGGATGCATACAGTCGAGTGCTTGTTTGACCTCTATAGCTGTATATTCCCGAGTTAACTCCTCATTCATCTCTTGGCTTACCCTCGGTTCAATGGCCGTCAATACCTCATTCAACTGTTCTGCCGACGGATTTTGTGAGGTAAATATTGTTCGAAAATACTCTATAACTATGCATTCCAATCCAGCATCATCTTCGCACCACTCCCCTGTTGCGTTCCGAAGTCCCAAGATCGTATTTTTCTTTCTACGAGAAGAGGCCTTAGCATGGAAATATTTAGTATTTTTATCCCCTTCCTTCAGCCAGTGAGCTTTAGCCCGTTGCCTCCACATCATCTCTTCTTTATCCGACAATGCCTCTAGCTCAGACGAAAAATCTCGTATTTGTTTGCAGACTTCATCCGTCATTAAACACTTTTTAAGAAAATTGAGTTTTCCCTTCAATTTGTTGATCTGTTTGGTTATCCCCCCAAACGAGTGTTTACTCCAATTTAACAAACCCCATTTACACTGCTCTAAATTACTCCACTGACCTTGATTATCAATCGAAGGTGAGTTAGCTGTCCAGGAAGCTTCGATGACTTTAGTGCAGTCATCAGACTTTAACCACATTGCTTCGAACTTGAAACCATGTCTTCTCCGACGACTCCCCACTCTGCTGCTGCTCTTTAGATCGATACGGATTGGAGAATGGTCAGAATTGAGGGCATCAAGGTGGACCACACGATAGTTCGGAAACTCGTTCTTCCACTCGTCTGTAGCGCAAGCTCGGTCTATCCGCTCTCTTATTGTATTTGGGTGCTTTCTATTATTTGTCCAAGTAAAGGGGTAACCCGAAAACCCCAGATCCATCAAACCCGAGTCCCGAAGACATGAACTAAACTCATAAATATCTTTAAATGGGATTGGTCTGCCACCACTCTTTTCTGAACTTGCGAGCATGGCGTTAAAATCTCCAGCACATAACCAAGGTTTTCTTGAGAGCCTAGAAAGCCGCCGTAGTAATTCCCACGATTTATATCTCATTGTGTCGTCAGGGTCGCCATAGAAACCCGTAAATCTCCAATCAATAGTTGCATCATCGTCATACACAAAAACGTCGATATGGTTTACCGAATAGCTCTGAAGGACTACAGTAATTTCCTTGGACCAGAGGAGACCAAGTCCTCCAGATGCGCCGCGCGCTTCCACAGCTACTCCTTGTAGATCTAATTTTCTTTTTACAAACTCAAAATTTCTGGCACTTAATTTCGTTTCCGATAGAAAAATAAGTTTCGGGTTGTTTACTCGGATCAGATCTCTGAGCGTTCGAAAAGTACGGAGACCCCCCAACCCTCGGCAGTTCCAGACCAGACAACTCATGGCAATCGGCGATAGCGGTGACGATAATAGACTCTTGGGCCTTGAAGAAGGTTGATGTATCTTCTGTAACACTAGAATATGAGATCTAGGAAAGATGAAGATCTTAGAAACCCCAATTGATATAGCTGCCTCTCATACGAGAGAAAAAAAACCTCTCAGAGGGAGAGAAATGTCGATGTGATTTAATTTATTTATTTGTACAGATGTAATTGGTCATGTGGTAGAGAAGGGGCATATAAAGGAGATCACTACAAAAGGAGAGAAAAGCAAACTTTTGGATGTTATTCTGCAAGATTTAGAGTAATTTAAATATTATATATTTTTTTTTTTACAATTTTTATATGGATTTATTCTTATAATATTTTTAGTAATTTATTTTACATTACAGGAAAAATACAATTAAATGTACTTTATGGGAACAAATTGATTCATATGTAACGAATACTGACCAAAATGGACTGTGGTCATACTTCAGTGTTTCAGGGCTAAAACTTATTGTGGTGCGTGTTAATATTTACATACCCTAATATTGATGCATATTTAGGAATTTGTTAAAATATTGATGCATATTTTTGTATATTAATTCACCTAAAATCATACTTAGGAAGCACGAGTTTGTCAAATGTTCGACATGGATCACAACTACTGATCGAACCGAATTTGAAAGAAGTTTTAGACTACAGGTATATGTACTAACATTTGATCATTCAACTTTTAATATATATATATATATATATATATATATATATATATATATATATATATATATATATATATGTATATAACCATGAGTATAATCAATCGTTATATATTTTAATACCTGTAAATTTTACAGGCTTGCATTGAGCGAAGAAGTCTATGTCCCATCAGTTAGTCAATTATCGTCCCAACTTTCTTTGCCTCGATCGTACGATCCACTTCAGGCAGATAGAATGACCATTGATGAGTGCGTTGAGAGTACAAAGGTACGTTGATTCGTCGAACATATATCTGATATATTCTTAATTAAACAAATATAATGCTTAAGAATCGATTGTTGTATATATATTGTAGGTATGTGTTGGATCCGTACTGGCGAAAATTCTGGAAATCGAGTCGGCAGCTAATTGGTGGTATGCTTCATGTAAAAATTGTGTGAGGAAGGTCGAACCTGTCTCAAAGAAATATTGGTGCGAAGAGTGTGACGGGTTTGTTCCTGTTGTACCAAGGTAATTATACTTTGATTTGGTAATATTTTACGAAAACCATCATTCCTCTTGGTATTCGAAATTTGTATGTAAAATATATATTTTTGTACAGGTTTAGAGTTCAAGTGAGTGCCATTGATAGTACTGGATCGACTTCATTCGTAATGTTTGATCGTATTGTCATGCAATTAATTGGAAAAAGTGCTTCAGAACACCTAGGTGGTGCATCAAACAAGGTATTATTGATGTAATACTTTATGTACATTTAAATCCACATTAGGCTAATAACCATTTTATTTTTTTGTAGGGAAACCATAATTACGGATGTCCTACAGAGATTAATGCTTTGATTGATAAGGAAATTCTATTCCAAATAGAAATCAGTTCCCGAAATATTAAGTATTGGGGATGGCACCATAGGTGATCCCAATGACGGGGTGGTCAGCATTGAAATCCCTGATGACTTACTCATAAAAGAGTCAGCTGATCCACTTGCTTCAATTGTAAATGAGACATACCCATCATTTTTAGAGAATATGGATGATATCAGTTATTTGCAACACAGGGCCATACTGGCTCCGACAAATGAGATTGTTGACGTGGTAAACGATTACATGCTATCGTTGGTTCATAAGGAAATGAAGACATATCTCAGTTTTTATAGTACATGTTCAGCAAACGGAAGCATTGACAGACCTGATGATATTCATACGCCCGAGTTTTTGAATACCGTTAATTCTTCTGGTCTTCCAAATCACGAATTAAAACTAAAAGAAGGTGTTCCGGTCATGTTGTTGAGAAATATAGACCAATCTTCAGGTTTGTGCAATGGCACCCGACTGTCAATCACAAGATTAGGAAATCGAGTCTTAGAAGCGAAAATTATATCAGGAACCAACATTGGTCATAAGGTGTTTATTCCACGATTGACTCTAACGCCATCCGATAACAGGATTCCTTTTAAATTCCAGCGTCGACAATTTCCTATCACTCTTTCGTTTGCAATGACGGTAAATAAAAGTCAAGGCCAATCTCTTCAACACGTGGGTATATATCTTCAGAAACCAGTGTTTTCACATGGACAATTATATGTTGCTATCTCAAGAGTTACGAGTCGAAGAGGCTTGAAGATACTTATTTGTAACAACGACGGGAACACCTCAAATACTACTACAAACGTCGTTTATAAAGAAGTTTTCCAAAATCTGAACTAAGTAAGTTATTTATATATTTGGTTAAATTTATATATGGATTATTTGTCTTCAAAGTTTTATAGATGAGCTTTGTAACATTTATTTTCAATTTATAAAAAAAATATTTTTTCTTTCATTTTGTCCTACGCTGCAGGTGACATATGCTCGAGAGTTGAAAACAACTACTCTGTTGGTGGCCGGATTAATTCTTTGGTGGATAGAGTTTTATACTTTTATTAGATTTTCCGGTAAAATATTCAATATATAGTTTTTATTAGATTTTTCAGTTAAATAGTCAATACATTTTTATTTCTGTTTGTTTTAATGATTGTTATGTTTGTTTGTTCAATCCCGTGCATCGCACGGGTCAAGTTACTAGTTATAATAATGTTTGCACTTAATGTTTTGGGTATCCGAAGGCATCACCCTAGATTAGTTTTTAGAGGTATTGATAAAAATAAAAAATTGAAAAAAAATTCATAGTTTTACTTAAAACAGTAAAAGTGTTAACCATTTTATTTTATATTTTTATATTAAATATGACTTTATATCTATAATTTATATAAAATTATGGAGAAAAAACATAAAAAAAAAATAAAGGGTTAAAACTATGTTTGCAAAAACTTTGAGGGGACCAAACTAATATTCAAAAAATATAATTATAAAATACCTATAAAAAAAGGATTAATTAAATCTTGGGGGTTCCGCAGAACCAATAGGACAAAACATCTATAAATTAATTAAGTTGGGATCGGAATATTTTATTAATTTAGCGAGATATTTTTATATCGACAAAATAATAATTTATTAATTTAAAGCGGTTTTACGTATGACCTTTAAATTTCCAAATCCAATGTACTAGATACAAGGCACATTCTATGAATTACATTCACAAATTAATTTTCTTAGTTTCTTCACACATTGCAAAAATAGGTTTTATATTGCTAATTTTTAATATTAATATTATACATTATAATCTTATCATAATTCAAGTATACAGAAAATAAAATCTAATTAATCCAAATAATTATAATAATGTATTTCCATCTCCAATGTACTAGTTACAATCGCTCATTCTATGAATGTACATTTACAAATTAAAGGAATTTGTCAAGTTCATCGTTTTTTTTTTTTTTTTTGAGGAGAAATGAGAATATTATTAGACGATATTCGTCAAATTCATGGGAAGAATTACCCCTTCCTTACAAGTATGACCATGATTTTTAGCAATAGTATGCGCTAAAGAATTTCCCGAACGTTTAATAAATTCAAAACTACATAAAGTAAAGTCTCTCGCAATAAGTAAACAGCTATCGATAAAGGCTCCGAACGAGGCTGAGCTTGAGTTTTTATTTCGCAAAGCAGTAATAACTTGAAGGTTGTCCCCTTCGATGATGACCCTCTCCAACAAAGCTAATTGAGCTTTCCTTAGTGCAAATAGCACCGCATACGCCTCACCATCGACAGGTTTCGGTCTCCCGTGAATTTTGTAGACACCCCACCACAGACATTCACCTTGATTATTTCGTGCGACATAGGCCACCGAGTAGTATTCCGCACCCGACGGGAATGTTGCGTCCACATTGATCTTCACCACTCCTTCATTCGGTGGTTTCCAATGGGACGGGTGTTGGATAGTTCGAAGCATCATTTTCTCCATACTTGCTTGACTCACTTGCACTAGGTATGATTGGCACCAGCTCACTACGTCCTCGGTCCGAATACTCGCTTCTCCATGCATCTCCCGATTCCAATTATCCCAAAGTTTCCACATTACGGTAGTCGCTAAACACCCAGCCTCACTTGCCAAAGTTGAGAGCATACACTCGGTCCATCTACCGGTGGAAGAGGTGGGAATGCTTGATAGAGCGGCAAACGGGAATTGCTGCCAAATAACATGTGATCCACCACACTTAGTAATAATGTGGAGAAACGATTCGTGTGCAGCCCCGCACCTCCTGCAAGAGGGGTCATCGACGATTTTCCTCCGGAAAAGCTCGGCTCTCGTGGGTAATATGTCAGAGCATGCGCGCCACAAGAATATTTGAATTTTGGGTGGAATCTTGAGATTCCAAATTTTCTTCCATGGGAACTTAACTGCTCCACTTGATGAGGCTGCCATCGTCCTACGCTCCCGTTGCCAAGAAAATGGTGACATAAGAATATGATGATAACAAGATCGTACCGTGAATTTGCCATGGTCGGTGAATCGCCAGATCCACCGATCTTCCACATTGGAGCTTCCAATGGGGACATCGAGTATGCGATTTTTATCGATCGGCCATAAATTTTCTTCAATGCAAGTAATGTCCCACGAGTGCAAATCCGAATCGATGAGGTCTGATACCCTATCTGGGAAGGAAGTATGAATCGGTCTCTTGGTAAAAACCCTAGGTCCGCCATCACCACTCAACCAGGGGTCGCCCCAGATGGACGTCGACTGGCCGTTTCCAATTCGTCTCCTAAGCCCAGCGAACACATGATCCCTCACCTGCCAAATACTTCGCCAAGTCATGGAGGGTCGTTGTCCTAATTCTGCCGAGAAAATATCACGATGCGGGAAGTATCTTGCCCTCAAAATTCGTGAAAGTAAGAGATCCGGCTCCGTTATAATTCGCCAAACTTGTTTACAAAGCATAGCAACATTAAAAGTCCTCATATCCCGGAATCCGAGACCGCCTAAATTCTTAGAAACACAAAGTTTCTTCCAAGCGATCCAAGCCATGCTTCGTGCTGATTCGTTACCCCACCAAAACTTTTGGATTGTTGATTCCATCTCGTGGATAAGCCCAATCGGAAGCAAAAAGGATCCCATAATATATGTTGGAATCGCTTGAAGGACAGCCTTAATCATGACTTCTTTTCCTGCTTTTGAAAGTTGTTTTTCGCCCCACCCGTGAATTTTGGCCCATATTCGATCTCGAATGAATTTGAACACTTCTTTTCTAGTTTTTCCCATCGTTACAGGCATCCCTAAATATTTATCATGTCTTTCAACAACCTCAAACCCCATAATTTGGTGAATGGAGTTCTTTGTCTCTACTGTGGAGTTTGGGCTAAACATAATCGTTGATTTCTCGTAGTTGATGACCTGCCCCGAGGTGCGAGCATATTTATCAAGTATTCCTTTTAGAGTAATCGCTCCAGCTTCAGTTGCTTTGCAAAAGATGAGGGTATCATCTGCAAAACAAAGGCTCGTAACCATCGGAGCTGTCGGCGCCACTTTAACCCCTTGTAATGCGCCGGTCGAGGTTGCCTTGTGAATCATGGAAATCAACCCTTCAGCACAGCAAATGAAGAGGTATGGTGACAAAGGATCGCCCTGTCGAAGGCCTCTCGCCGGCTTCATGAAACCGAACTGCGAACCATTAAAAAGAAAGGAATATGATACCGACGTAACACATAACATAATCAGCTCGATCAGAGACGTAGGAAAGCCGAAACGACATAAAACTTTTTTCAGATAAAGCCATTCAATCCGATCGTAAGCTTTACTAATGTCAAGTTTGATAGCCATGTGACTCGTCTTACTCCTAGGCCTAGATTTAATATAATTGTTAATGTATATTCTTAGGAAATAAGTTAGCAATAATGATTGATCTCATAGGCAACCAGGACATTATCAGTGATAAGGCGTTTGGGTACAAAAGCTGATTGGGTTGGGGAAACTAATTCGTTTTTAATATAAATAAAAGTGAAAGTTTTGTTAGAGAAAGAAGAAAAGGGGAAGAAAAGAGCGGGAGGATTTACCATTCTCCATTATAGACGCCCCTTCTCTCTCTCTCTCTCTCTCTCTCTCTCTCTCTCTCTCTCTCTCTCTCTCTCTCTCTCTCTCTCTCTCTCTCTCTCTCTCTCTCTCTCTCTCCTCTTCATCTCCACCGTCCGATCACGATATTGATCATGTTGACGATCATCCCGATTTCTCTCCCGTCGGTCCCCCTGAGCTCACCGAATTAATCTCACCGCCGCAAAATTATCAAGCAGGTGGAGTATTACTTGAGTGATGAAAATTTGCCGAATGACAAGTTTTTGATGAAGTATGTTACAAACAATGTAGAAGGATTTGTCCCTTTAGGAGTTATTGCTTCCTTCAGGAAAATGAAGAAACTTACAAGAGATATGTCATTCATCGTCTCTGCATTGAAGGAATCTGACCTTCGTCGAGTGTTTGGTGAAGCTGGAAACATTAAGAGAATTACGGTTCGGGACCCACATGATGCCAAAGACCCAAAAAAGTGCACTGATGCAGAAAAGCTGATAAACGGGAAGATGCATGCTTTTATATATGAAGATTCATGCACTTGTGGAGTACGACAATTTGGAGGCTGCGGAGAAAGCTGTGGCAACTTTAAACAATGAACAAGATTGGAGATACGGTTTGAGGGTCAAGTTTGTCAAGAAATTGAAACCGGGGCATAAGATTAAAATGTGGAAGGAATCGGAGGCTGAGAAAGCTAGCAATGTTGAAACATCAGTATATTTAACGAGAGAGAAAAACGAGGTGCATTTGGCTAAAGAGAAGAATGGGCAGAAAGGTCGAAACAGAGGACGTGGAAGGAGACAGCAGCAGTACCACGGTCCAAATGGCCATGGACATGGAACACAATTTACGAGTCATGGGATTGAACCATCAAAGCCGCCACCAGGCCCGAAAATGCCAGATGGAACCAGAGGATTTACGATGGGCAGGGGACGCCCTTTGGCTACCACCAATTGAAGACAACCATAAAAAAAAAAAAAACGAAAACTATAGGAAGAATATAATAGGAGAAAGAGAGAAATAATATTACGTGATAGAAACCCCATTATGTTATGGGTTGATTACATGGAATATATATAGAGAAATATTGCAAGGTAATAGAGTTTGACTAGGTAACTAAATCCTAACTAATCTAGGTAACCGAATCATACTAGAATCCTAATATTAGGAGAGTTCTATAATATAATATTCTCTAACACGCCCCCGCAGTCGAAACGTGACGAACGTGAAGACTGGACAATCACTTGCTAACAAAAACTTTTCTATATCTGATTGCTTTTTGTAACGTTAGTATACCATGGTGTCAATTATGTAATACTATGTTTAACATCTGTGGGGTTTTTTTTTTGTGTAATGCGTGATATTTGCCACTTCCTTTCGATTTTCGAGTGTGGTCAAGTACAACGATGCTTATATATAAGTTATAACTGTTTTGTCCCGTAAGTTATGACTTTAACGGTTGGAGCAAATTAGCATGTGTCAGTTGGCCCACGTTCTAATATATAAGTGTCAATTATTTCTTTCAAAAAAAAAAAGTGAAAGTTTTGTCAATCAACTAATGTTGAAGCTAACTAATGTTGACTATGCTAACCATAGTTCCGATAACTCGCCGCCAGAATATAAAATAAAAAAAATAATAAAATAAAATAAAAAGATAAAAAATAATGAATGTCAAGTAATTGAAGTTAACTAATGTTGAGTCAGCTAACCGGACTCTGGCCACCTAGGCCACTGCTGAAAACAAAACGTAAAAAAAAACAGTGGAAAAAAAAATAATAATCCAAAAAAATGTAAAACAAACCATAATTAGGGGTTTTATACATAAGTCCTGACCAACCACTTTATTATTATAGATTCATGGGTTATATCTCTTTCGCTAATAAGTCCATCCCTTAAATATGTATTATAAATAAGGAAAAATTAATGTATATGACAAAATTACCTCCAACCATTTACATCCAATTCTTAATTGTAACCTCAATTTTAATCAATTTTGACCACTAAAAATTCAATCTTGACTTTTTTTGGAAAAAAAAATTTTCGTGAAATTATTTTTTTGCCGCCGGTTTCCGGTATTGACTTTTTCGATTTTCTTTTCTTTTGTGGTTTGCTTCTTCAACCGTCGGTCTCCGGCGTTGACCGTCGGTTTCCGGCGTTGACTTTTTCGATTTTTTTCCTAAAGATTTGTATCCGTATTTTTACTCCCACCGCTAAACGTTGATCGTAATTGTACTGTCATTAACAGTAATTATATTGTCACTGACAGTTAATACTATATTAACGTAATTGTATTGTCACTGACAGTACATTAACGTAATTGTACTGTTGTTGACTATACAATTAGAGTCACCGACAATAATATTATTTTTTTGACTTTTATTTATTTATTTATTTTGTTTGATTTATTGACAAGTCAACGTAATTATATTACTCTCGTTGACAGTAAAATAATTGTAAACACAATAATATTACTATCAGTCACATCAATATTATTCTTTTTCTGAGTTTTTTTATTTTGTTTGAGTCGTTGACGGCAGGGGCAGCCCTGGCCCAAGACTACTGGGACGACCGCCCAGGCCCAGTCGTGCAAGGGGCCCATTTTGAAATAGTAACTGTGTTTTCTATAGTCTAGTTTTTGTTTTACAAAAACAGAAAAATGTTATAGAATAAAAACATATATATAATAAACTAATATAAATTATGTAAATGAAACTGAAAGCTCTTATATAAGACTGCAATTGCTTGGTAGTGAAATCTTATATAATGATGAGGATTGAGAGATATACATTTCATTCTCATTACGTCTATTTATATACAGAGAGGGTTTAAGCATTGTCATGCTTATTAAGGATTAGTATAAGGAGAAGATGGCACGTGTAATAGTGAAGGGGAATCTTAGTCTCCAAGGCAAAAATGATGCTGAGTCCACATATTGATGTATATCTATTTATAATACTATCCCTTGGACGAAGTATTATTGTATCGGCTGTAAATTGGATGAGTACGATGTATGCCTCGTTAAAAACCTCAAGTTGGAAAACCCAGTGGGATAAAACCGAATATAAGGGAAAAAAAGTGCATAACTCAATCCAAGTCGTGTGCAGAAGCTGCCTCGTTAAAAACCTTTGCTGGAAAACCCAATGGGACAAAACCAGTCAAAAGGGAAAAAGAGTGCAGCGCACTATTTTGCTCCCCCTGAAATGATCGCACTGTAAACCTTTGGGGTGAGCCATCAATCTTGCTCCATATCGGCTCTTCTCATTCCAATGCCATATACCAATTTCTCAAATGTAGAAGCCTGGAAGGACTTGGTTCAATCGCTTTTTATGTATCTGTGCTATATAATCAACATTATCATGTTAGTGGGCATGCTTGTTTGGTAAATCAACAAGACGTACCTGCAACATTACAAAACTGTGAGTCATTATTCACTGTAATTATCATCGTAGACAATCAATTAATCAATTAAGAATGTAAATATATTATTTATGATCGTCTCATTTGTATGCCATATATTTCATTGAAATAACTTATGAAATTTCTGGTATTTCGAGATTTGATATCGCTTTTTCGATATCAGGCTCAACAGATTCATCTGGAGCATTCTCACTAGGAACCACTTGGTTCGAGGGTTCATCAATTTTCCCCTTTCTTTTTTCTAGGAACAACGTCCTTTGATCCAATTGGTCTACCCCATTTTTGTCGTGGGGGATCATCATTCATTTTCGTATGTTCTTCAGGAACATCGAACCTAGCTGGCACATTCACAGCTGGAATATAAGACTTCGTGACTCTACTGGCATCATTAAATGCATCAGGAAGTCTATTGGCAATATTTTGTAAATGAATGATTCTATAGATCTCATTTTCACATTCAGAGGTACGTGGCTCGAGATGAGATAAATGTTGCTCACACCATGTGAGATTCTCGATTGGTTTTTGTTTATCATTATCACGGATATTCTGAATATTTTTACCAATCGGTATAAATAATGTCTCATCAAAATGACAATCCGCAAATCTAGCGGTAAATAAATCACCCGTCATTGGTTCCAAGAACCTAATAATTGACGGTGAATCAAACCCAACGTATATGCCAAGTCGGCGTTGGGGACCCATTTTAGTCCTCTGAGGAGGAGGAATTGGCACTTGCACAGCGCAACCAAATGTGCGAAGATGCGAAATATCGGGCTCAAAGCCTGATGCCAATTGCATTGGGGAATGCATATGATAAGCAGTTGGGCGTAATTTAATCAGTGTTGATGCATGCAATACTCCATGGCCCCATGCTGCACTAGTGAGTTTAGATCTCATCAGCAAAGTACGAGCAATTATTTGGACGCGTTTAATCAGAGATTCCGCCAGTCCATTTTGAGTGTGAACGTATGCTACTAGGTGCTCGACATTTATTCCCAATGCTGCACAATAATATGTGTCAGCAAACGCGTAAATATTATATTTCGCGTTGATAATAAGCATACGTAGTACCATTAGGCAACATAATTGTTGCATTCCCGGAGTCATCTATTCTCTCCACGGGATCAGATATGATTTTAACTTGTGCCTTGTACAATGTCACACTCGAGAAATATATTTTATTATTGAATATTGAGTGTGTAGTTGCACTATCGAGTAGGCAATAGTCATATTTGTCCATGTTTTCATGTACGCGTAATTAAAAATCAGCTCGACCTCGAGTATTTATCCTCCAAGGGAGATATGTACATGTGGGTTTATTCAAAACAACTCAATCTTGGGAATCACACCATCCAAGAGAGATTATACATGGATACACACAAAATAATTCAATCTCGTAATCACACCTTTCGAGAGAGATACATATACACTGGGTACAAAATAACCCATAACCCTTTAAGTTTGGGCTTGTGATTAATAGCCTCTAAGTTGGCTCTTGACAGGTTTTACCTCGTCTAATGACTCTACGAGCTTCAGGCTCGGAGATATTTTCAAATAATTGGCCTTTAAATCGGCTTTTGACGGATATTATCACGTCTTGACTCAACGAGCTTCAGGTCGGAGTTATATTCAGATATTTGGCCTTCAAATCGGCTTTTGATGGATATTATCACGTCTTAACTCAACGAGCTTCAGGCTCGGAGATGTATTCAGATATTTGGCCTTCAAATCGGCTTTTGACGGATATTATCACGTCTTAACTCAACGAGCTTCAGGCTCGGAGATATATTCAGATATTTGGCCTTTAAATCGGCTTTTGACGGATATTATCACGTCTTGACTCAACAAGCTTCAGGCTCGGAGTTATATTTGTGATTTAGCCTCTAAATCGGCTTTATTGTCTTAACGAGTTTAGACTCGGAGCTATATTAAATATTTAGCCACTAAATCGGCTTTCTTGCTTCAACGAGTTTAGACTCGGAGCTATATTAAAGATTTAGCCTCTAAATCGGCTTTCTTGTCTCAACGAGTTTTGCTCGGAGCTATATGAACAGTTTAGCCTCTAAATCAGCTTTCTTGTCTCAACGAGCTTAGGCTCGGAGCTATATTAGCGATTTAGCCTCTATATCGGCTTTCTTGTCTCAACGAGCTTAGACTCGGAGCTATATTTTATTTATTTGACGGGAATTCCAACGTCTCAATTCAACGAGTTTATCCGCTCGGAATTATAGTATGACCTCTATACGGTCTCTGTTAAGCTCTACGGGTACTATGCCCGGAGTTGATAGCCTCTAAATCGGCTTTAAACGGAGATTATTATTTCCCCAACTCAACGAGCTTATGCTCGGAGTTAATCTCATAGTCTCTAAATCAACTTTCAACTGAGATTATTATATATTTTACTCGACGAGCATCATGCTCGGAGTGAATATCTTGGCCTCTAAGTCGGCCCACAGATCTGTTAAACATAACACGTGCTTATAGCACTGCTTGGGATCCACAAGCTTGCAAATATAAATTTCAGCAGCAATTCAACAAATAAATAAGCAATATATTAATATACACGAATCCATCATATCCTTTGAGAAATGATAGCGTATAAAATACTGAAGTATTCGCTAATCATTCTCGTTTGTCATTTCGACAATAGAACGAGGATCTGGATTTTCGTAAAATAAAATAGAAAGAAGAATACGAAAATAACAAATCTCTATCGAGCAAAATCTCGTGCTGATAACGTGTTATAGAATAAAAACATATATATAATAAACTAATATAAATTATGTAAATGAAACTGAAAGCTCTTATATAAGACTGCAATTGCTTGGTAGTGAAATCTTATATAATGATGAGGATTGAGAGATATACATTTCATTCTCATTACGTCTATTTATATACAGAGAGGGTTTAAGCATTGTCATGCTTATTAAGGATTAGTATAAGGAGAAGATGGCACGTGTAATAGTGAAGGGGAATCTTAGTCTCCAAGGCAAAAATGATGCTGAGTCCACATATTGATGTATATCTATTTATAATAAAAAAATCATTTATGATTAATTCTTAAGAAACCGACACGTAGCACGAGAATATCACGAGATTACTTTCTCTCTCCCACGTGCAGGCACATCTTTTTTTTTTTTTTCTCTTCTTTTTTCTTATTTTTGTAAATAATTATTTCTTAAATTTTATTATTATTTCTCCTTCTCATTTTCTCTCTCCACACATCTCCTTTTCACTCATCACTCTTCAAACAAATAGAATTCTATTTTTTTATAAGATCGGATAATTTATTTCTCTTCAATATTCTTTTGTCGTATTAATAGAAAGACTTAGGTGGTGTTTGCAAATGCTTTTTGAAAGTGATTATGCGGTTTTTTGCTCATAATTTGTTTTTAGGTGTTTGCAAAATCAACTTTTGTTTTTGCTTCTCTTAAAATAATCTGCTTTAAGCTATTTTTTTAAAAGCACCCCTAACCCTGCTTTTTCAATTTTAGTTCATTTTCCGAAATATTTGCAAACACCCCCAACTTTTAGAAATAAGCACTTAAAACTAACTTAAATCACAATCACTAACTTCTGCTTTTAAATAATCATTTGCAAACACCACCTTATATTGATATACCTTTCAATTAAACTTTTTTTATAATTGTACACTGTTTTTTTTCAAAAAAAATTGTACTATTATAATTGTAACACATTTTTTTTTATTTTTCTTAATAATCATTTTTTTGTTGTTTTTTTATTGGAAGACAAAGACTAATATGATTTAATGTAAATTTCTTTCTTTATTTTATAATTAGTATATGCATTGAAACTTCTTGATTCAAGTACCATATCTAAATACTTTAGTTGAATTATTATGAATGTATGGTTAACCCCATAGGAGAGTAGTAATTTTAGTTCTAGTATAAAATCAACATCAAAAGTTCATTCTTGTAAAACGAACTATTAAAAAATAGGAGATCGGAGTTATAAGAATTATTCACTGCAGTCAGTCCAATATTATACAAGGGCACAAAAAAATAAAATTCGCCCAGGGCCCTTGGTGAGCTAGGGCCGGCCGTGGTTGATCGAGTAACGTAATTTTATTACTGTCTATTATTATAAATGCAATAATATTACTGTGGTTGACGGTAATATTACTGTTGTTACAGTAATATTACTGTCAACCACATCAATATTAATTCTTTTGGCATTTTATTATATTTACCTTGTTGAACGGTCAACATATTAATATTACTCTATTAATAATAACGACTTTTGTTGTGTTAATATTACTGTGATAGAGATTAATATAGCAATATTACTGTGTAAAATTGTAGTATAGTTAATATTATTGTGTTTAACAGTAATATAGTCAATATTACTGTCAACTACAACAATATTGTTGTTTAAACGGACACAAAAAGATATTAAAAAAATTCAAAAAAAAAAGGAAAAAAAAAAGTAACGCCGTCGGAGAACGGCGTTAACCGCCGGTAAGCGACGGCAGAAGAAGAAAAAAAATATCGAAAAATTCAACGCCAGAGACCGACAGACAACAACGGCGACGGCGAAATTGTACTCAAAATTGGGTTTTGGATCAAACTTGAATAATTTGTGAAATTGGGTCAAATTGAGGTGAAATTAAATTAAATGATGAAATTGTAGTATATTAAAATGTGAGGGGCTAGTTTAGTCTTTACAAATCGCTGAACAATTGGTGGATTTTTTTGTAAAAGATCTTTTTTGTCTGGACCATATTTATAAATAAGTATCCATTGATGGGCTTATTTGTAATATGCCCAACTAATTATTTAGTTTATATCAAATGAAATTTACAACTACTGGATTTTACTCAAAAAAAAAAAAAAAAAAAAAAAAAAAAAAAAAAAAAACAAACTTGAACTTATCCTATATTATGTAAATTAGTGAGGGAGCTACCTCAAATAAACCCGTATTGTATAATTATTACTAACGGGCATAGATAAAAATATGAATTTTATAAACTATCTTTTTACTAGTAATCGAAATGGGAATTGCATTGCGCATACAGTAGCCCATCTTAATGTAGATGATTATTACGAAGATGATCATCTTCCAGCTCACTTGGCATCATTTGCCTAATAAAATAGTTTCACTTTTGTTCAAAAAAAAAAAAAAAAGATAATCAAAATTCGGAGTCTGATAAAAATTCTTCGTACCAATAAATTTGATATTAACTAACTAAAGAAAGATTTTTTTAATTATATTTTTAATAACAATATACGGTAAGATAATTAAAAACAAATTTTACAATGTCATGTTAGTATCATTTTTTTCATTAATATTATTGTACGTGCATTTAGATTATTTGTTACAAAATTGACATTGATTTAAACTTGTCCATGTTATATTTACCAATAGTTAATAATATAATAATAGTTTTATGTCATAATTCACTATTAGTTTATATTAATTAACAATCAGTTTATTACCATATTGTTTTTCAAAGTTTGGCCTAACCAAGATATTTTTATCTCTTCAAAAAAATGGAAGAAACCACCATAAGATTCATTTTTTTTAGGACGAATGGCAAAAGGCTCATCATAATGGACTTAAATGCACATTGGTCTACAAAAAAAACAGTCTTATAAATAATAACACCAAGTGTGTATCTAGGGAGTAGACTCATCCCCATGTCTTTAGTCTAAAATACCATCCATAATATAATTCTTATCAATTCCATCCATTATGCTCTAACTTCCTTAATATTACACATTTTCCGGCCAGATTCCGGCGTTGATTTTTTTTTTTTTTTGAAAACTCTTTTTTTTGAAAAAAAATTTCCGGCCGGTCAACCACCGTTGACCGCCGGTGTCCAGCGTTAATTTTTTTTTTTCAAATTTTTTTTTCTTAGAAAAAAATATTTTAATTAATATTACTGACTTGGCTACTAAATTACTGTCTCAGACAGTAATATTAATGTTTGGGACAGTAATATTATGAATATTATTTACCGAGCAGTAATATTATTAATATTATTGTCTAAGACAGTTAAATTATTGTTGGAGACAGTAATTTAACAGCCAAGACACTAATATTAATTAAAATAATTTATTTTAAGAAAAAAGAAAGGAAAAAAAAGTCGATTAAAAGTTAAATTATTGTCTCCGACAGTTAAATAACTACTGTGGACAGTAATTTAGCAGCCAAGACAGTAATAGTAATTAAAAATATTTTTTTAAGAAAAAAAAGTCAATTAACAGTTAAATTACTGTCTCCGACAGTTAAACAACTGCTGGGACAATAATTTAGCAACGAATACAGTAATATTAATTAAAATATTTAAACAAAAAAAAAAGTCAATTAACAGTTAAATTACTGTCTCCGACAGTTAAATAACTGTCGGAGACAGTAATTTAGTAGCCAACACAGTAATATGAATTAAAATATATTTTTTAAGAAAAAAAAAAGTCAACGTCGGAAACCGGCGGTCGCTGGTGGTGGCGGGTCAAAATTGGGGTCAAAATTGAAATTAGGGTTAAAATTGGTTATTGATGAAACTGGGGTGTAAATCATGAAATTTGAGTTGAATTGGGTTTCAATGAATTGGAGGTAATTTTGGTATATATAAAAGAATTTTCCTTATTTGCAAATAAGTTTGAATGAGCTGAATTTATTTGAAAGATAAAAAAGTTAGATGTCCTTCTTTTAATTAAGTGTCCTTGTCATGGGCCTATTTGCCATTTATCATTTTTTTTCATATAGATAAATAAGATAAGTAATAACTAATAAGTATAGATATAGATTATGTGCTAAATGAGATTGCATCGTACGGACTTTTTAGCATTTTGTGAGGACTTTTTACAATCATTCAAAAGCCGGGGGAATTATAACGGATAGAAAAGGATTCATATATCGTAAAATATCAACTGAAATAAATAATTACATACAAATCAATTAATATTCTCGAAAAAAGTCCAAACAAAATTATAAGAAAGGAATTAACACACAACTAATTACATATATATGTGCACTAAGTAGATCACCACTCTCGTCCAAGCAAACCACACAAAATGTAAACAATCATTGACCAGATTCGGACCCGGTAATTTGGTTTCCAATATTTTAATTAGGTTGCAAATAGTTTAATTTGGTCGTCCTCCTCGAAGTAAGGCATGTCATTACGATTCAAATGCACCCACGCCTCCAATCCACCACCCTCTTTGCTATCCATAAGTACAATTATGTTCGGTCGTGAAAACGCCCCGATTCCCGCCACCACGGGCTTCCCCCATCCAAAATCCGCTTCGTAAAATCCAAACTTGCTCCAATCGCTAAAAGCAAAAACATTCACCTCCCCGCCCATCGATTTTCCCCTCACATTCACTAAAGGCTCCATAATTATACTTTTCACATCCCGACCCGTTGGAGAAAATATTTCAGCACAATCAGCGACGGTTTTTTCGAGGCCATCGCCTAGTATATCAACCAATTCTTGAATATTATTATTATTATTCCCAACAACGGTGCTTGGAATCATGCACCGTGTGGGCGACAGAATCAACCAATTCCGACACGAATGTTTAGGAAGAGGCGGAAATGTTCTCCCACGCATGTTGACCGCCTGGGCAATGAGGCAAGCTCTCGATTTCCCGTTGTGCTTCGCCCGATCCACTCCGATCATGGCCTCCGCTATGACCGCGGACACCACGCGGACTCTCGAGTTTTCTGGCAACTTCAATTTCGATCTCAGTCTCGTTATAGCCTCCTTGTGAAACGAAAACCTCTTGACAACGATGTTGGGATCCCAACACGTTTTTATAGAATCGCCACGACTAATGTAGCTTCCTGGAAAAAACTCGGGCGGAGTGTCGAAACTCGGTCGGATTTTGATGCTCCCCACCATCCCTGAATTTTTGTTGGCGTTCGACCAAACGGCGATGAAAGTCCCGACGGAAGACGCGTCGAAAATTCTGTGAGAAACGCTGACGCTGACAACAAGCCCGCCGCACTTGAACCTTGTGATCCGAATCGAGAGGAGTGGGTCGGTGGGAGATTCGTCCACTTGGTGAAATTTAGGTGGGAGAAAATAATCGTTTAGCAACTTCAAGTCCCTTTCGGATGCCAGAATGACATCACTTAGCGTCACATCGTCAGCAACTTGTGCTTCTACGAATTCGGCGCCCGAATCGTTGCAGTCGACCGAGTGATCCTTCTTGATGTATCTTCCGGCAAGAGGGTAGAATTGGGGTAGAATCTTGGATAGTGATTCTTGAAAATGGGTTGTTGTTTGTTTTGGATTGTTTGGTGATATTGGGTTGTCGTATAGAAGAATAACTCTGTTAGAATTTATTTCGTGCAGATATAAATTATTTGTGTCAGATTCAGTTTTTCGTTACTGTTGCGTGAAGAGTTGCAACAGTTCGTGAAGCAGTTCGTAAAAACAGAAATAAAAGAGACACAAATTTTAATGTGGTTCAGATACAATTGTACCCTACATCCACGGGGACCTGCAAATAAAATTTACTAATTTTTAGTTTTACGAATACAATAATAGGACTTAATCAAAATACAAAGACTCCCTCTTTGTTGACGCCGTTCTTGTATACTACGCTGAATTATAAATCTTCAATTTGCAGCACGTCTCTTGCTCCGCACGGTTGAACTCCCTTCAACGCTGAATCCCTCAGTCGGCGGATCGATCTCCTCCCGAGATCTGTTTAAGCCCCTCTCCCGAAGAACCGATCTTCTTTTTGTATAGAAGAAGCAAACTGGTGATACTCCTTGAATCTTGGTGTCTTCACCACAAAGCCTTGAAGTCGATATATTTCTATGAAAATCACGTATCACGATGGAGCAATAAAAACGAGAACAAATAATAATTTCTCTGTGAATTTTTCTCTCGATAAAAAAGACGCTTGAAGAGCGACACAGAAAAGAGAAAATCTTTCTCTCCAAAAAAGCCGCGCTCAATCACGTTGAATGTCTTCCCTTTTATATGTGATTGAATCTTCCTGTACAAGAAAAATAATTAGGTTAAAGAGTCATGGTCAAGAAGGAAAAGGAATTTCATAATATAGAAAATTAAATATTTATTCCTTATCTAATCTAATTTCCACAATTAACAAAATACCAATTAATGAAAATAGATGAGAATACGTAAGATGAATTCTTGACTTTTATTCCTAATAGAAGACTCCTTATAATAAATAATTCTTAATTAATGACAAACAAGAAAAATATCAATATATAAAAGAAATATCTTTCTCTTTCACAAATCACACGTATGTGTGTAATATATGGCAAGAAGGAATTCTTCTTTCACAAGACTTCTACACAAGTCATTAAGTTAAGAATAAATCTTTTTAATTAATAAGATAGTTTCCTATATAAAAGAAACAATTAATGACAAATTAAAGAATTTGAGTAAACAAGGAGACTTCTCTTTTGTGTTTCACGGTACATAAGGACTTGTTGCACAAGTCTTTACTCATCCCTTGTTTATTAGAATCCAATTAGATTCTAACAATCTCCCCCTTTGTCATTGATTGATTCTAATCATTTTCTCCCCCTGAATAAAATGCCTGAAAATAAAACAATAGAGGATATAAGGAAACAATCAAACTAAAGATCATCCTCAGGTTCAAAAGAACAACTCATCGTCATAATCTCTTTCAGCAACAAGAGTGGCATGAACTGCTGCAATAGCAAGTGCCACAGTTTCAGCAACTGTTCCCACAGTAGTGGCTTCGGCGAATGGTTCATAATGGAGTCAGCTCTCCATGCATGCGTTTCTCCCCCTGTAAATGATCCTTAGGCAGCTTCTCTTGTAAATGACTTCACTCTTCCCCTTGCTTACTTGGGTTGGTAGACTTTCGAAGGCGACGTGGTATATCATCCACGTGATAAAAGACTCAGCAAATAACGTAAGCATTAGCTCCTCCTTTTATATTCTTGTGAAGACCTAAACCAATTAATGACAATAAATACAATATTAGAAAAAGTGAAATTTCTTCTATTTTGGATACACACGTTCAGGTGTTAATATGGAGAGATAAATTATTTCTTCTCAAATTATCTAATGAGATAACTAAGGGAAATATGTTTCTCGTATTAATACACATCTCCATAGAATTCCACTTCGTGTTGTGGACTTAGAATCCCACCGAGATTCTAACACTCTCCCCCTTTGGCATTGATTGGTCAGAATATTTACTCCCCCTAAATATATGATACCGAGATTCTAACACTCTCCCCCTTTGGCATTGATTGGTCAGAATATTTACTCCCCCTAAATATAAGATACCTGCATGAACAAGGGTTAGCAAATTCAGAATAACATCTGCACATATAATTTGTTGCAACAGTTTATCAAACAGTTCAGCAGATAGTGTAAACCGTAAATAAACCATAGTTCCAAAATAAAAGCAGATGATTCATTCAGATAAGCACGAGATAAAAGGATATGCAGTAGCAGAAACAACTTCTCTGCACAATGCTTATTATTTGTCCTATATTTCTGCCCAGCAACTGTCTGATACACTGTAGCAACAGTTGTCGGAACTCCCCCTGTGTTCATGCCATCGTTACTGTTCTTTTCTCCCCCTTTCTGGGCAATCACCATGCATAGATAACGCAACATGCAAGCTGTTCAAACACTTAACAAAAGGATCAAACGAAGAGAGAATCTTGAAAGTAAGTGAGAAGAGTCACCATACACAACTTGCAAACAAAATCACAAACTCAAAAACTCAAAACCACACGATAATTGCAATTTGAAAATCAAAGGATAATGATATCAAATTCAACATTAAATAACAAAGACAACAGACTTTGCCAAACTTCATACGAGACGTGGAAATGCGAGTAGTAGGCCCAATAGATCCGGTTGCAACAAAAATCAAATTTAACCGGCACATAAACAAAAATCCCGTCTCTCTCTCTCTCTTTTTTTTTTTTTTTTTTTTTTTTAAATGCCTAATGCAAGACAAGAAGTAAACATGAGAAATAAACATGAGTGAAGAGACATATGTGAATAGGATACTGCATGGACAAACAAAACATATGGGGTTTATCTTCACATTTACGACAAGCGCAATCCCCAAAAATCCGACTGCCAATGCAACCAATAAACTTAATAATCCCAAGTCAAACACAAAGATGCTCTTATTAGGTAGCGTACACACACGTCTAATGGTAGCTTTTTCCCATGAAAAACAGAGCAATTAAAATAAAAGGAACGAGATTATGGTGGTCGTGCAATGTGTAGTCCCCTGGGCTTTCTAATTGAGCTTTGTAGTAAGTGTTCGGTCAAGTGGTTTACTGGCTCGACTCAACTAGGCTTCGAACTATTCACTGACCATATATATATAATTTATATTGGCCGTGCAATGTGTAGTCCCCTGGGCTTTCTAATTGAGCCTTGTAGCGAGCTTTCGGCCACGTGATTTACTGGCTCGACTCAAAAAGGCTTCGAACTATTCACTGACCAAATGGTTGTAGATATATATATATTAGTAACAGTAGTTCAAGAGTAGCTTTCACTCATTAAAAGAGGTAGCTTTTCCCTATAAAAACATCCAACCATGACAAGACTATTCAGAGAAATAAATAAGTTGGAGCCTTTTAAGTAATCATTTTGGGAATTGGTGAAGTTCTACCCCACAAAATTTAGAAATACACAAAGTATCAAATTCACATTTGTCTCAATCATATGCAGTATGCTTAATGCAGGTCCTATATGAGATGCAAAAACATATGAAGTGTCCTACCTCTAAAAGTTGCAAGTCTGGACACACAGACTGTTGCAACAGTTCATGCAACTGCATCAGATTAAACAACATAAATTCCCAGCGATTTTCGCAAGGAATCAAATCTCTGTGCATCAAGGGTTTTTGCAAAAGCATCAGTTAATTCATTCTCCGTTGCAACATAATCAATTGAGACAACCCCCTTTTCAACCAAGCCCCTTATGAAATGATGACAAATATCAGTAAGCTTAGTTCTTGAATGCTGAATAGGATTCATCGAATTATTTTTCGCACTCAAATTATCAAAATTCAGAAGATCAAGTTTCTTATGCCCCAATCCAATTTTGTCAACAGAACTGTTGGAACAGTTAGTACTATCATCACACGATTTTAAAGAAGTAATGGCAGGTAAACAATTAATATCAGACTTCTTTACCCAGATTTTTTGTTGAGTTTTATTCACTAAATCAACCTTTATCTTGGGTTTTTGAGACGACACAAAAGTGTGATCAATTTTAGCGGAAAGTGGTGAGCAGGCCATTATTCTTTTAACCATTTTCAAGTACTTAAAACATCTGGGTCGTATATGACCAGCAACATGACAAAAATGACAAATAGGCACAAAACGTTTTCTTTGAAATGACTGTTTTGGCGCAACTGTCGCAACAGTCTGTGAAACAGTGCATTGTTTAACAAAATTGATTTTTCCTATTGGATCTTCTTTCTGTTTCAAAGCATCATCAGATAGTTTATTACCCCTTACACCTAGATGACCATAGTTCGGCTGATTTGTTCTCAAAATTTCATTCAGATTTACCCTACCTGTATTTAATTTAGAAATAGAATCTTGGGTTTTAGCAAATTTAGCCTTCAAACTATCAGTTTCTCTACTAGCAGAAATAGCATTTTGTTCAAGAGTAGAAATTCTTACCTTCAACACTTTGTTTTCCTGAATTAGAACAAGCTTCTCTTTTTCTAAGAATTTATTCGACTCGCATACCTGAAGAAATTTTTCGTACATCCTTTCGTAGCTCGTCATTAATTCTTTCAAGGTTGCCTCGTCATCATCGCTGTTGTTTTCTGAATCCCCATCGTCACCTGCAAGATTTAACGGAGTTAATCTTTTATCAGGTATTGAGTGCAACTTATCATACCTAAGTTCTGTCTGAACAGTCTGTCCAACTGTTGCAACTGTTTCAGCGACAGTCTGTTTGCACTCGCTTATCTGAGTAGTTCCTTCGTAGGCCTCTTGTAGAACATCCCATGCCTCCTTTGCTGATTTGCACATTGATATCAATTTGAATTGGTCTTCATCGATACAACTCAAGATAGCATTGGTTGCCTTGGAATTATAATCTGCTTTTCGTACTTCTTCATCACTCCACTTCTCTTTTGGCGTTTGAATGATCTCGTGTGACTCATTCATTGAGGTAGGAGGTGTCCAACCAATTAGAATCGCGCGCCAGGCCCATTCATCAATAGATTTGATGAACATCTTCATCCTTATTTTCCAATCAGAGTAGTTTAATTCACCCAAGAGAGGTGGTAGGAATGCGCCTTCACGATGATTATTCATGTCTGCACAAAAAAAATAAAAAATAATTAAATCCCAAAATCTCACTAAGTATATCTAGTGACAGGCTCTTGATGCCAATTGTTAGAATTTATTTCGTGCAGATATAAATTATTTGTGTCAGATTCAGTTTTTCGTTACTGTTGCGTGAAGAGTTGCAACAGTTCGTGAAGCAGTTCGTAAAAACAGAAATAAAAGAGACACAAATTTTAATGTGGTTCAGATACAATTGTACCCTACATCCACGGGGACCTGCAAATAAAATTTACTAATTTTTAGTTTTACGAATACAATAATAGGACTTAATCAAAATACAAAGACTCCCTCTTTGTTGACGCCGTTCTTGTATACTACGCTGAATTATAAATCTTCAATTTGCAGCACGTCTCTTGCTCCGCACGGTTGAACTCCCTTCAACGCTGAATCCCTCAGTCGGCGGATCGATCTCCTCCCGAGATCTGTTTAAGCCCCTCTCCCGAAGAACCGATCTTCTTTTTGTATAGAAGAAGCAAACTGGTGATACTCCTTGAATCTTGGTGTCTTCACCACAAAGCCTTGAAGTCGATATATTTCTATGAAAATCACGTATCACGATGGAGCAATAAAAACGAGAACAAATAATAATTTCTCTGTGAATTTTTCTCTCGATAAAAAAGACGCTTGAAGAGCGACACAGAAAAGAGAAAATCTTTCTCTCCAAAAAAGCCGCGCTCAATCACGTTGAATGTCTTCCCTTTTATATGTGATTGAATCTTCCTGTACAAGAAAAATAATTAGGTTAAAGAGTCATGGTCAAGAAGGAAAAGGAATTTCATAATATAGAAAATTAAATATTTATTCCTTATCTAATCTAATTTCCACAATTAACAAAATACCAATTAATGAAAATAGATGAGAATACGTAAGATGAATTCTTGACTTTTATTCCTAATAGAAGACTCCTTATAATAAATAATTCTTAATTAATGACAAACAAGAAAAATATCAATATATAAAAGAAATATCTTTCTCTTTCACAAATCACACGTATGTGTGTAATATATGGCAAGAAGGAATTCTTCTTTCACAAGACTTCTACACAAGTCATTAAGTTAAGAATAAATCTTTTTAATTAATAAGATAGTTTCCTATATAAAAGAAACAATTAATGACAAATTAAAGAATTTGAGTAAACAAGGAGACTTCTCTTTTGTGTTTCACGGTACATAAGGACTTGTTGCACAAGTCTTTACTCATCCCTTGTTTATTAGAATCCAATTAGATTCTAACAATCTCCCCCTTTGTCATTGATTGATTCTAATCATTTTCTCCCCCTGAATAAAATGCCTGAAAATAAAACAATAGAGGATATAAGGAAACAATCAAACTAAAGATCATCCTCAGGTTCAAAAGAACAACTCATCGTCATAATCTCTTTCAGCAACAAGAGTGGCATGAACTGCTGCAATAGCAAGTGCCACAGTTTCAGCAACTGTTCCCACAGTAGTGGCTTCGGCGAATGGTTCATAATGGAGTCAGCTCTCCATGCATGCGTTTCTCCCCCTGTAAATGATCCTTAGGCAGCTTCTCTTGTAAATGACTTCACTCTTCCCCTTGCTTACTTGGGTTGGTAGACTTTCGAAGGCGACGTGGTATATCATCCACGTGATAAAAGACTCAGCAAATAACGTAAGCATTAGCTCCTCCTTTTATATTCTTGTGAAGACCTAAACCAATTAATGACAATAAATACAATATTAGAAAAAGTGAAATTTCTTCTATTTTGGATACACACGTTCAGGTGTTAATATGGAGAGATAAATTATTTCTTCTCAAATTATCTAATGAGATAACTAAGGGAAATATGTTTCTCGTATTAATACACATCTCCATAGAATTCCACTTCGTGTTGTGGACTTAGAATCCCACCGAGATTCTAACACTCTCCCCCTTTGGCATTGATTGGTCAGAATATTTACTCCCCCTAAATATATGATACCGAGATTCTAACAAACTCCAACATTCATTGGAGGGTTAAGATAATCTATAAAAGATATCTTGTGATTTCTAAGGCTTTGAGGAGTTGGGGTGCATGGTTTTACCAACTTCGTGCTAACTATATTCACTTTCATGATTAAATTGAATGTAATGAATGGGTGAAGGAAAATAGAAATCTTCATTTTAACTATATTCTCTTTTATAATGAGAGTTCGGGGGTAAAATGGGAATATTGGCATTTTTAGACTTTTTTTTTTAGTAGGTGTAAATTACGATGTAACATGAAAGTTATACAATTGCAAATTGCAATTTATATATATTTTGATAGTGACGCAATTTGACTTTCATAAAAATTGGAGAACAAGAGTTGAATGTATCTTCATTCTTCAATAATTATTGATTTTTCAACTTAGTTTGAATCAATCGATTTTCATTTGAAAAATGTTACGATCAAAATATTTTACCTTGGTTCGCTATGGTGAGAATAGTAGAATTAGATAATTGCAATATTTTAATTTGATTTAGATTGTTGCATACATATTAAGAAAATTTATAAATACACATAAATTATATTTATAGTACATGACATAAAAATTACTAAAATATCCTTAGTAATAATTGTTTTCGAGTAATTAATTAAGAGTAATAAAGGGTAAAATTCAAAATAATACAATTAATACTTTGTTGAAAATTTAAAATGTCAAATAGTTTTAGATAAGGAAAACTCTCTAAAAAGATACTTCCTCTGTCCAATTTTATATGTATGTGTTTTGTTGATGCGCACATATTAAAAAAAATGTGTGCAGGTTATAGCAGAAAACAAAGAAAATTACTTAAATATTTATGTATTATTTTCCAGTTAATTAATTAAGAGTTAATTAATTAAGAGTGATAAGGGGAAATTTTGAAAATAGTGCAATTAACACTTTATTGGAATTGTAAAGTAATAAATAATTTAGAGAAAAAAAAAAACTGCTCAAGGAGATAAATAATACAGAGCAGATAGAAATTTCGCAAAAGCTTAGAACACGAAAATTTGTAGATGCATTGGATATACTTCCAATTCAACTTTAATTAACAGAAGTTGGTAAGAAAAGGATATAGCCAAAATACTTGGCTGTCAATTTGACCCGAAATTTTAATATTAAGATATATTTTAATATAGTAGGCTTATTATATAATTGTGATAATTTAATACTGAATGAAACCAAATATTGATATTTGCAATCCAGAAAAAGTTGATAGACCCGTGGGAACGAAATTAAGACATTTTGGATTGATATGCAATTTGAAGCCAATAAAAGTAGTGGTGGAGTGTAAAATAAGATGAGTACACATCTGGGCTATGACTTTGTGTTTGCAGCGACTCTAATTTTTCTAACTTGTTGGAGTTATCGTAGTGTAGAAAAGTATTGGTTTGAGTTATATATATATATATATATATATATATATATATATATATATATATATATATATATATATATTAACTATTAAGGAATTAGCAACGAAATTTTTTCTAACTTAGTTGCGCAAGTAAAAATTCGATGATACCGTGTAATCATATCAATTAGTATCCACGTGATCAGGTTACGATCTTATCGATGCTGTATTTTAGTTAAATAATAACATCTGAAAGACAATGATTGAAAACCCCGTGCAAGAGAAACGAGTTCTTTTGTTCAACAACATAACTGCTCGAACGAGAGCGGCATATCGTCATATGTAGAAGCCGAAGGGACTGCCACACATCATCGCCAACACTGCCGCCGTTGTCGTGCCTATTGTCGAGGGGATAGAGAGATGATATAGTGCCCTAATTATGGGAGATGGAAGTCAAGGTCTCGTAACTTTTGACGAGTGCATTTTAAATACCTAAAAGATTTTAGCTTTTAGGACCGTCATTAAAGTGCATTTTGTAGCTCATGTATTTTATAGGACCTATTACAAATAAGCTCATCATTGACTATTTATTCATAAATAGGTGCAAATAAAAAACTTTTTTTACAAAACAACTCAGACAATGTCTAGAGTTGTGGAAAAGATATGCTTCAATTTCATCATTAATTTAATTTGATCCCAATTTCACAAATTGTTCATTTTTGACCTCTAACCCTATTTTGACTTCAATTTCGCTCATCACTACCTTTGACCTTTTTTTTGTTTGTCTGTTTTTTTCCTTCCCGGCGTTGACCGGCCTAACAGAACGCAACAGCAAGGGACAACCCATTATGCCACCACTGACCGGGGGCTAAGGCTGGTCTCTGGCTGCGTTGACCTTTTTTTTTTTTTTTGAATTTTGTTCTTTTCAACATGTTTTTACCCTTTTAAACAGTAAAATTATTGTGGTTGACAGTCATATTAACTATATTACTGTTTAACACAGTAATATTGTTATATTAAACTCTAGCACAATAATATTGATGATGCTAGAAATAGATCACCTTAAGTAGTTGAGATTGAGGGAGCTGGGAGAGCAAAGTGGATCACTGCCCGCGTGCTAGATGGCCCTGAGATACCTGCAAACAGAGAACACGTGAACTAGACCGGGGGTTGATCCGGCGAAAACCCCTCCGACGCTCAAGTCAGACGTGCGGATTGTAGATATAGTTGAGAGAATATGACTCCTCGTATTAAATCAGTATTTATACCTTATCGAAACATTATTTGAAGGTAATTGGATTTTTGTAATAGTGTTCTTCTAAATCCGGCTCATGGCCCAGTAAATAGAGAAAATGTAGGCTTATTGGGAATATCTAGATTGATTAAAAAAAATATGCGCATTATGAAATATCTAGATTGATTATGCAATTAAACTTGTAGTTTTGATTAAAAATTTAGATGCGTCATGTATTTGCGACAAAATCGTTGTGACTCCCTTGAAATTGTAATACATGATAATTTTCTTTTATAAGTGATTTGGAAATTGAATTCTAATTAAGGTTGTTAGTTTTATTTGGTGCAAATATTATTTATTTGTGTCAGATTCAGTTTTTGTTTGTTGTTATGCTAAATGTTGGGACAATTTGTAGGAAAAATGTAAAATAAACAGAAATTTAATGTGACTCGAATACAACTGTACCTCATATCCACGAGATCTACAACAATGTCAAAAATCTATTAAATTCATAGGTTTGATACCTTATCTCGAACTCATAATTGAAAAAAATATTCAATCACATAAAGTCCACAAATGAAGTGGGTTAATTAAAAATTCACTGGTGAAAAATAAGAAAAATACGAAAGCATTCACTCCTGTTTTGGTACTTTTATCCTGGTGGATTTCTCTATCATTTACTAAAAGGATGGAATCTTGGATTACAAATTGGTTGAATGCCGGTCAATCTCACTATTTCATCGTTATAAGCACAATGATAGGGTTTAAATAATAAAAGAAAGACTCAATTTTTATCTTGACGCCATTCTTGTGCCAGGCTCCTCCACTTTGCACAGTTGAACTCCCTTCAACGTTGAATTTATTTAGTTGACATATCGACCTCCTTCCAAGAATCTTTTAAGTCCCTCTTTCGAAGAATTGTTTTTTTTTTTTGCTGAGAAGATGAAAAACTGAAATCTCGACTGCTATTGAAAAACTCACGTTCTGGAGCTAAAATATGACTGATAGCGAAGCGGGTACCCTACAAAAAGTGTAATACTAGAACCATACCAAACCCTTTTAAAAACTATTTTGAAATAGCAGGACCATTACCATCTATGTCGGGATACCAACAGGTAACCATTTACCATTTAAATTATGGTGATATTAAATAATTTGGGGCCAATAATTTTTCAGTACCTCTCAGTAAGACATGAAAAGAAAAAGGCACAAAACTTTTAAGTAAATTATACAAAATGGAATACGACACTTCACAAATATTGATATTCCAATGCAACAAAGTAATGAGTAAAAAGCAAAATCAGTATCTACTAAAATATATTAAAAATGTATTTTGAAGTATAAAAACTAGGATACACCCACTACAAGAAAATGCAAAATAGGCAATGATTTCTTTATCGACAAAATGAATTCCGTTGCCAATAGTTATATTTTAGCAACGACATAGTATTTGTGGCTAAAGAATAACATTTGTGTAACAACATATTTTTGTTGCCATTGAATCTCATAGGCAACGAAACATATTGTCGTGAATAGTATCGTATATATTTTACAACGAATTTAATGTAAGACAACAACTTTATTGTTGCAAAAGAATATTTCTTTTTGCTACGATATAAAATTGTAGTAAATACATTTACAATGGCAACAAATTTATTTTTGTTGTGAATAAGTGACGAAAGACAACGAAATATTTTGTTATAAATGCTCCAAGTGATTTGACAACAAAATATAATCGTTGTAAATTTAAAAACCAACTATTTTTCTTGAATTTATATATTTATATATATATATATATATATATATATATATATATATATATATATATATATAATATGATAAGAAAAATCTTATTTGTTTATATTAACTACAATAACTCATAATTTTTTTGTTAAGTCAATTGTTGATATGATTTTAAAAAATTACTATATATAATTAATGGTAGATGTTATATTTATAATTAAATTTTATTGTAAATTATTTTTTGAACATAAAATACATATAATAAATTATTTGTTATGACATATTATTTATTTATGTAGTTATTTTAATCATTTGATCTTGTGTATTTAGTTTTTATAAATTTATTTTCAGTCAGTTTACACAAATGTAGTGTTGCCCCAGCGGTTTGAAAGGTGTATAACTTCAAATCAACCGGAGTTCGACTCTTACCATTGCCATGTCTCCATATATTTGACATTTATCAAACGAGTTAGCGTATTGGGCTAATCATGAGTTTAACCCAACAATTCCGACTCTGAAACGGTTCGGCGGTCTAAAGGTCGGGTCCGCAAATGTGGGTTGGCGGTCCAAAGGTCGGGTCGGTAGTCCAAAGGTCGGGCTGGCGGGTGCGGTCGAAAATAAGTCATGTATTGGCAACAATAAATATGTTGCAACAAAATACAATTTTGTTCTTGGGCTAATCATGAGTTTAACCCAACAATTCCGACTCTGAAACGGTTTGGCGGCCTAAAGGTCGGGTCCGCAAATGCGCGCGGGTTGGCGGTCCAAAGGTCGGGTCGGCAGATGCGGGTCGGTAGTCCAAAGGTCGGGCTGGCGGGTGCGGTCGAAAATAAGTCATGTATTGGCAACAATAAATATGTTGCAACAAAATACAATTTTGTTCTTAATGATTAATGTATTGGCAACGATTTATGTGTTGCAACGACATAAATTCATTGTTATTAATAAATGTATTGGCAACAATAGATTTGTGGCAACAAAATAAATTCGGTGGTAGTAATCAAAGAATTTGCAACGATAAATGTATGGCAACAAAATAGACTTGTTGTTATTACTTAATGCATTGGCAACGATCAATATGTAGCAACGACATAACAATATTGTCTATAATGCATTATTGACAACGATTTGTAACATTTCCTTGCCCGGAACTTTTGGTGACAAGGAAACGACAATGAAGGTGGCAACAAAATAATTTTGTTGCAAGAGAAATTGACAACGAAATTAATGTCTTTTGGCAACAAAACATATTGTTGCCAATTTGACAATTTCTTGTAGTGTGTACAATTGACTGGAATGATACGAAACTTGTTATGTACTTAAGTAATTCATTAAGTAGTAAAATTACATTTTCTATAGGTTATTTAATACGTTATTTAAAATTTTGCCAATTAATTTTTTATTTGTATTATGTTGAATTACAAATAATAACTCGGCTCGACTTGAGTTCGAGCTCATCAAATGAAAGCTTAATAAACTTTAGCTCGAGCTCGAACTCATCAAATTTGATTCGAGCTCAAGCTCGAAAACTCTGACGAGCTCGGCTCAAACTCGACTCATTTACACCCCTTATCTCAATACATAACTCCACATCATTGTGCAAATTAATTCCCGTTAAAATTCTAACAAAGTGTTATTGTTTGTCGAGTCAATTTGATATAAAATAACTTTGTACAAAACCATTTATATATGTTCTATAGATCTTTTCCGTAGATCTTTTATTTCATATGTATGAAAATAAAATTATTTAGATGATTATTGCGGAAGTATATAATAAAATTGCAAAAAAAACCAAAAAAAAAAAAAATCTACTTTTTAAAAAGAGGATTACCCAATGCCGCTCTTGATTTTTCGAACCCATAATCAAATAGGTCTTAGACTCTTAGTTCCATATCAACCATAGTCTTTTTATTTCATTGGGTAAATTACACCTACACCCTCGAGATAAGCTAAAATAACTTTAAGGTCCTTATGGTATCGGTAATTATAATAACCCTGTGAAACATAGTTAGAAATTCTAATGAGATAATGCATTGGATACGTTATTCCAATAGAGTTCTAACGGACTATTAGTCTCATTAAGTGGTCTAGACAACATAGAGTTAGGACGTGACATGGCTCCCCCAATATTTTAAATCACCCCTAACTGTATGTTGTCTAGAACACTTACAGAAACTAATAGTTCGTTAGAACTTTAACGGAATAACGTATCCAATACATTACCCCGTAAGAGTTTCTAACAATGTTTTAGGTAGTGATTGTATTATTCATACCACAAGGACCTTAAAGTTATTTTAGCATCCTAATTCTTTTTCCTTTTCTTTTCTAGAAAGATACATAACCCGACTCCGATCCAAGTCGGTTGTCCAGCTCCGAAAGATCCAGAACCCGACTCCGACCCGACACCACTTCCAACGCGCGCACGGTGCACCACAAGACAGAGAATCATTCCCCAATCGTACGCAACAATTTTCCCCCCAAACCTGAAATTGGAATTATATAATTCCGTAATTTCGATCTCAAAATTTGCATATTCCAAAATCAAATCGCATAACTCACTCTCTCTCCTCTGTGAGAAACACGCAGAACACACAGTAAGATGCCGATAGAGATGCCGAAGGGGCTTCCATTTTCCGTCGATACATGGACGCCTTCTTCAAAGATGAAGATGCACCATTTCCTCACCCACGCGCATAAGGACCACGCGCAGGGGATCGCCGCCCACGCTTCTTACCCTATCTACTCTACTCTCCTCACCAAAACCCTCCTCCTCCAATACTACCCTCAGGTGATTGTAATTTGTAATTCATGTTCGATTAGTATTGAATTTTGATTTTTTTTTTTTGGGATAATTTAAGTGTTGTTTTTTGGGGATTTCTCTATTCTATAATTGAATTGAGTATTTGTGTTTGCAGCTTGATGAATCGATGTTTGTCGGTATTGAGATTGGGCAATCGTTGGTTCTTGAGGGCTCCGATGGTGATTTTGTGGTCTCGGCTTTCGATGCCAATCATTGCCCAGGTTTGGATTGTTGTTTATTTGTTTTGGATAATAATCTCTTCAAATTGTATGTTGTTATGTTGTTCTTCAATCACCTATGAGATATGTTTGAGTTGATGTTGCTTTAGGATAGCGTTTTAGCCTTAACCAACATTTTGGTTGACAAGACTTGATTTTTTTCACTTTGGGTAACATACAATACAACTCAAATACTAGTATTGAAATATAGCTAGTGTCGATTCCACTGTACTCATGTACTGTGACTCAATATTATTCTATTCATGTATGCATAACAACCATTTTGTTTTCGGTACTTAGACTTTATAGGAGTACAATCTGACTTGGGAAACAATTAACATTTTGAATTGATTAGTATACAGATCAAATTAGATTATATTCTCGTCCCGTATGGAGTAGTTGAGCTTGCATCGTTGGTACCTTTTGGTTTATTAGCATGCTTTCTAGTTCTCGTTTTTCATACGATTTATAGTTATTCTCAGTATCTAACTACTCATCGATGCCTTCGCATTACATTTCGATTTTTTTTTTTACGTTTATAGGACTATCAAGGTTTTTGAAATGCATTTAAGGCTCTGCTGTTGAAAAAATCTCATGAGATTTTTTTTTGAATTTCAGGAGCTGTGATGTTTCTGTTTGAAGGAAATTTTGGCAACATTTTGCACACTGGAGATTCCAGACTAACCCCCGAGTGTTTGCTAAGTTTACCGGACAAGTACATTGGCAAGAAAGACAAAGAACCAAGGTGTCCACTTGATTATGTCTTTTTAGATTGCACATTCGGCCAATTTCCTTTGAAGATGCCCAGCAGGCACACTGCAATTCGGCAGGTACACTTGCTCTCCTCCTTGAATAATATGTTTTTACGTCTGTAGCCAATTATGAGTTGATCTATGAAGAAAAGCAACTGATGACCGTTCTTTTTTATATACTGATTTTTTGTCTTACTGTCAGATTAAATCTTGTATATGGAATGAGATTCAGATATTGAGCTTGTTAAATTATTGGATGATAATAAGCTAAGTTCCATCTGAAAGTGGACTCCACATACAGTCAATCTATTAAAATATATTGCTAAGTTGGTGCGTAAAAACCAAATGTTTAATCATTTGCGTCAGTTGTGCCATACTGCATGCCAACTTATGTTGCTTCACAATAGCTATAATCAGAAGTGGTAGTGCTAAGGTGTGGGTGAAAAATATATGTTTAATCATTAGGCTTCATTTGTGCCATACTGCGTGCCAATTTTTGTTCCTTTATGATAGTTCTGATCAATGACCTTAAGGATTGCATACTTACAGTTCGTGTTAGGATTTTATTTTTCCTGAAATGCTAGCTTATCAAGTTAAGAAGAAAAGATATAGATGATTTGCCTTGGATATCATTGATATGTTGAGGATAAATACAATATGCAAACCATATTAAGATGTTGGAACTTTTACATGTCTGACTGGTGGCTTAGCCAGGCACTCTAGTTAAGCTTGCAATAATTATATTATGTTGAGTGAAATGGACCTGCCGATCCATTGAACAAGATAAGGTCAAATATTGAAGCCAAATAAACTAAGGGATGTTTCAGGTTTTGTATGTTTATACGGTTGTTTTCTGCTAATGCTTTGGTTATTCGATGTAAATTTTCATATATGTTTTTTCAACCTCAGCAAACTCATAATGAATCCAAATATTTGTGAATCAGATTATCAATTGCATATGGAAACACCCTGATGCCCGTACGGTTTATTTGACATGCGATCTTCTAGGTCATGACGAGATACTTCTAGAGGTGTCTCGAACATTTGGCGAGAAGATATATGTCGATAAATCCAAACATTCAGAATGCTTAAAATCTCTCGAACTTATAGTCCCTGAGATCATATCACAAGATCCATCTTCCCGTTTCCAGCTATTCGATGGATTTCCGAAACTATATGAAAGAGCTGAAACAATGTTAGCTGAGGCTCGGGCCAATTTCCGGCCAGAACCTCTTATTATACGCCCTTCGTCACAGTGGTATGCTTGTGACAGTGTTTCTGATATAGAAAAGCAAAGAAAAGGAAGAGTAGACCAAGCTGTTAGAGATCTTTGTGGTGTTTGGCATGTCTGTTACTCAATACACTCGTCAAAAGACGAATTGGAATGGGCCCTGCATCTTCTTGCGCCTAAATGGGTAATTTCAACAACACCTAATTGCAGGGCTATTGAGCTTGATTATGTTAAAAAGCACTGTTTCAATAACCGAAGAGCTTTTAGTGACTCGCTCCAGAAACTTTTAGATATAAGTGCAGTAGCATCTGTAGGACCAGATGAGCCAGTGAACATTTTGAGCTGCTCAAATGTGGTGGAGAATATCGCCGTTAGCTGTGTAGAAACCCAATCTGAACCAATTGTCATATCCAGACACCAGAGAAAACGACTTAGTTTATCTCCCCCAAGCAAAAGACCCATGGTCACATTGTTTGGGAGAGCAAGGCTTGGGCCTCATAATTCTAGTTTCCAACACGAACAGCCAACGAGTTGTGATTACGCAGAGAGAGCATCAATTGAAACAGAAGATGTGTCTTTTCAGAAAGAGGCCACTGAAGTGGAATTTGAAGAGCTTTTGGAAATAAAGAGAGAGGCTGATATTGAAGTTACAAAATGCACTTGTATTGATATAAATTCAGAGACACAAACATTTGATGCTATTTCGCCTATTATCTCGTCGAATAGCTATGGCGAAAATTTAAGAAAGTCCTACAGGTCTATGAATGTGCCAGTACCTCGGCGTCTTCCCTCCCTTGTGAGACTTGTGGATGCCAAAAATTCTGCAAGGAAGAGGATATAAGACTGCAGGTATGTAAAGCTTTGTACAGCAAATATATTCTTACTATTCTTAATTGCTGACGTGATCGGCAAATACGAGATTGTGAATATTCTTTGTATGAAATAATTCTTTGAGACCAGTACCTTATGGTTGGGTGGTACTAATTACATTCTTGTGGTGAGAGGTTTTTGGGGTCGATCTCAGGTGTGTGCGTATGCATTGTAAGGCCATTTATAAGGTCAATCTTTTAATAAAAAATTAAATTCTTTATGGATTATCTATTATTTTTGGTCTTGGTTGTTTATCTAATTACACCAAATATGTCCGATGCTATTAGCCTTCTCCGTTGTTTTTTTTTTTTTTTCAGTTTTATTGTTCTTTACATGATATCAACAGTGGGGTGATATTAAATAATGATGTAATTACTTTCATCAAAGTTTATGACCACTGAAAAGAAAATTAACAATTGTTAGAAGACAATTTTAGAACATGAAAATTTGCCTATGCCATTTTTGTATATTATTTTTTCTCTTGTTAAATCAAAGTGATATCACCATTTATCTTAAACAGTGGCATTTTAACAGAATGGAAATAATAAATAAAATATTATACAGCACAATTTACAGACATATGCTGAAGAGCCGGCACAACTGATACTGACTGGTATCGTGTGTAAGAATAAGCTAAATACTGGCTATATCTTGATTTATATACCACATCTGCTTTTTATCGAACTTTTTCTGTGATTTTGGCCATATCTGGATTTGAAAGTACTAGATGCTCTAGCTTCAACAGATATCTTGAGATATATGGTTAATGGATTATACTTATAAGAAATTTGTAAAAATTGTTTGAAGTACAGACGTTCTCTGTCAGTATCTAACGCTGTACTACTTTGAGAATGTTTTTTTAGCCTTGCAGGTGTTTGGGATACTAAAGAGAGCTTGAGGCTGTTATCATTGTCCTTGGCTCCAGTATGCGACATAATAATCCTGCTAGAATTAATATGGAAGTACACTTAGGGAATTTGAGTTATCTAGATATGTTTCATATTAAACAACGAATGCCTGAAGGAAATTGTTTTAAGATACAAGCGTTCCACCTACAGAACTAAATTAAATTGAAGCTATCATGTGTAACAACCCATAGGTTCCACGGGAATTAATTTTTTGATTAAGAAACTTTTTTGATTCACATTGGGCAATGTTTTTACTTCGCCTCAAATTTGGTTTCTCTGGACGAATGCCTTTCCCCAATTTATGTGCATTTCTGTTTATAGTCTTTCTGAAGAAGTTAAAGGCGGAATACCATTCACAAATAATGTGTGTTTGATTTTTGGGGAGATAATTTTAGTCTCCAACGACATTTTGCTGATTATTTACAGTTCCATATTTATCTTAACAAAGTATCAGTTCCGGTGTTCGGGGTTTTCCGTATCCAACCCAGATCAATGCATTCAGCCAATTAAATGCACTTCCCTTGAGACTGGTTGCCTTTTTGTGCGGTGTAAGATCTCTCTCCATATTAATTACAGGGGTTAATAAAAAACTGGCTTGGTATGGACATTTTCTTTTAACATATGATCAAAGCAATGCCTAAGATATTCTTCATTTATGTTTATCTTTCTCTTAACTTTCTCTATGTTGCTATCCTAAATCTAGGAGCCCCTAGCATTGGCTGTTTAGCATTGTTCCTTATTTGAGTTGACACTGCACTATATTCTTTTTTCTCAACAACTGCTTTTTACAGATCGTGTTGAGTAAGATTCTATCAAGAATGGAAATTGGAAATTAAATGTTGTTGGACGATCTGGCTTAACAAGATGGATCAAGATCTAGGTCTTCATGCCGTCTCCGCTCTCTTCATTAATTGAGTGCGTATATACTATATTCTTTTCTGGTAAGAACTTCATGTATGTTAATGTTGAGTTATTACTTCATGTTGCTTCATTGAAAAGTTCCCTTATTTACTTAGAGTGGTTATTTATGACCTTTTTTTTTCCTTCTACTGTAACACTGTTAATTTGGGGACAGTGTGAGATCACGTAAAAGGAAAACAGTTGCTGTATTTTCTTGTAATTTTTTGAGAAACAACCATTCATGCAATTCTAAGACAGCAAATGATTTGTGAGTTTGCTGTAATAATGCATGTTTTGACATGCCACTGGAGTATGAAAAATGTAACTTATATACATGTTTCTCGAACTTGATATAGTGACCTTAGTCGAAGTTCGATACCCTTGGCAACTAACCTAAACTCTGTCTTTTATGGTTTCTACCGTAAAAGCTGACAAAAGATCTGTCTGTATGGAAATTACATCACTTTTGAAAATTCATTTAAATTTTCTCACAATGTTCTGGAGGATAACAGACAGATACTCTATAAATATTTTCATGTTCATTTTTCAGCTTGACACTTCCAAAAAAAAAGCGCTCCATTAGTCTAAAGTCAGCATTTGAAGTAACTATCTTGAGTTACTTCACATAGTTTCTATAAAGACGGGAGATGCATTTAAAGAATTTGGTGTCTATATATTAATTTGCTCTAACGCTGAATATGAAATCACAGGATAACAATTGATGGAACAGCAACGCGGCAGCATAAGATTAAAAGGGTAAGTTTTAATTTTTAACAATTTGCTTCCTATTTGTGAAATTTGCTTTCCGTATGACAATGAAGTTCAAAAGTTCTAAAATAGTTGATGTGGTTAAAGGCAATTATCTGAAGTAATAGTGTCGATTACACAGAGCAATTGAAACATTTTAAGTTAAATAATATCCTTTCGACTATTATTTCTCCTATCTCCAGCTGGCTAGACAAACTGCATGGGCTGCAAAATAGCGTAGGTTAACTGAAAGAGCTAATGGTAGAAGGTCCCGCTTTCAACCCCGATTTACTACTTTATTGCCTTGGGCTAATTTGTGGAATTTACTTACGAAGTTTAGTAGTCTCTCATGTTCGGAAAAATTGAGAATGAATATGTTTCCCACTTCATAAAAATGAATTTCGGAACTGAGAGCCAATATATTATGACATTTCCTAATTCCGTCTTGGGATATGACTGGCTTAATTATTTCTATTAATTTGCAGTAATTGATCTAATTATTTCTTCAAGTTCGAGCTTATCATTTTACGTTAAAAGAGACTGACATATGCTGCTAGGTTGCATTGGAATTTATATATGGTACTCCAATCCTATTTATGTCCAACCGTTTAATATGTTGCTTGCAAGGTAGCAAGCCATCTGAAATCTAAATTAATAAAAAGAATTCATCAAACTCCTATTTTCCTGCTATCCACTTGTTTGCTCACATTTTCATATGTTAGATTTTGCTTTTTAATGTTAATAAAATTTGGAAATATTTTGAAATCCACATGCACCATTATTTTATCTACCTTAATACATATGCATGTTTTGTGTTACTTAACTATTGTGTGATTACCTATTATACCCGTACTAAGCTAATTATCGACTAATTATGATTAATTAGGTAAAATGTGATTTGATGTCGCAATTAATGCATTTAATATATTATGCGTGCCAACCTTGAAGGTTTGGAATAATTTATATTGTGTATATTTTTATTCGATATTTGTATATAATATGACTTTTAATGCTAATTTTAAACAATATATAAATATTTTTTTCTAAAACTATATGTTTCACGTGCAAATGAAGCAATGTATACTGAAATTTCATTTGAAACTTTGCGTCGATAGAATTCTTATTACAAATTCACCTTTACTTTACTTTTTTGAATTATTGTATGGATTTGATTTTGCCAAACAAGGCCTTCGATATGCCCGAGGAGGAGTAACATAAATGCAAAATACATAGATTACCTGTATGTATATTTACACGCGGAAGAGGGTCAACGGTGGTATTGTGCTTTATTGTTTCCGTTTCATACGTAGACGTTGTAACTGGATTCTGTGAATATTATTAGGTGCATAAAACGTAATCTGACCAAAATTGACAAAATTATTACATATTACCACAACTCTACAGCTATGCACCCGTGCCTGCTTTATTTCCGCCCTCTATATATAATTACGGCATCTTCCCAATGGAGAAGCCATACCATAGCCAGTGAACCTTTTCTCCACCTGTGATGGAGGCCCAAAAAAATAACGAAGCTATTCGCCAGAGAATGGTTCCTTACAAATCCCGTTGGTCCCTTAAGGAAGACCGCCTCCTCACTTCACTCGTCGATCGACATGGCCCTGGAAAGTGGGATTTTCTCGCTCAACACATCAAAGGGAGAACTGGTATCTATTTTTACGATATGTCATTTTTTCAGTTTTTTTTCTTATAACAAGAAATGTAAAATTCCACGATTTATTTATTTACTTCCTTTTTTTTTTTTTTACAGGTAAGAGCTGCAGATTGAGATGGATCAATCAATTGAATCCGAGACTTGACAGGGCGCCATTCAGTGACGAAGAGCAGAGAAGGCTCCTTCAACTTCACGAAAGATACGGAAACAAGTGGTCCATGATTGTGTGTCACTTTCCCGGTCGAACAGACAACCATGTGAAGAATACGTACCACTCACTTGTGGGGAGTCGGTACGTGAAAGGCAGTGGTGGCCAGTCTTCTTCAGGCATCGTTCTTAAACCAAAACCTAGGAGGGGAGCTTTGCCTGCTGCTCGTTATTTCACCAGACCAACAGTTCCTGTTGGTTCTCAGTCTTCCAATGTTTCATGCCAAGGGAATAACTATAGTGGTTTTGCTGATCCCGCTTCACCTGCTATGTCTAACAGTGTTTCTGTGGCGAATGTGTGTCCTAATAATCAGGGAATATGCTGCGGGGATTCCGTTACATCTGATGCTAAGTCTGCTGCACTCTATCGTGCTCCTCAGCCCCAGCAAGGTGTAGGGATCCGAACTTATCAATTCATCGACTTTTTGGGGATTGGAAATTCCGAGTGAAAAAGGAGGCTGCTCGATGTTCTGTTTTTCTTATTGTTCCGTTATTCTGTTTGATGAATTTTAGTTTTTTTTTTTTCGTTTTTGTTGTGTCGATTAGTAATGTAGTGTGAAGTGTCTTTTTGTTATTTCGAGTTTGTGTCTTGAGGAAATCTGGGAAAGGGCATCTCTGTCCTGTCAAAAGTTCAGGGTTGTTCTTGTTTTTAATAAATGGAGGTTTTCTCTTTCTTTCTTTATGTATTTCAGTTGTTTATTTATGAGGCGTTGACTGTTTTTCTTGGAAAGATTTGCTGCATAATGTTGTAATCTTGCTTTATTTAATGTGATATGCTTAATTTTATTGCCATATAAAAACATAAGCTGCTTCTACTCTGGATTGTCTTGGTTTTGATTTGTGTTACTTGTGGTTTTCTGCAACTTCTGTTTTCTTTGTTTATTTTAAGGTTGTTTTATTATGCATATTGGCATATTCAATTGAGTGAAGAATCATTAGATTGTACTCGTTGATACAATGTTTGCACGCACGATGGTTGTTAAATCGCAAAGTGAATCGAAATCGAAATCGAAATCGGAAACTGTTTTGTTAAATATTTTGATCTTAAAATTGTAATAGGTAGTAAAAAAAATAGATTAGAGTCAAGTCGAACTGGAATTTTCTCAAGTTTAAATAAGAAAATTGAAAACTCGAAACCAATCGATAAATTTAATTGTGACCGTAAGAGTTTGACAACCATGGTTTGCACATTAAAAAGCAGTTCAATTATGAAATAACTATATCACATAAATGCATTTTTGTAATTTATGTGCATTTTTAGTGGTGATTCTAGAAATTTGTTACATGATAGGTTTAACTTTTTTAGAAATTAGGGGCTTTGTCCCCATTTTTTCTTTAAAGATTATTGAAATAAAGTAACACAAAACAAAACAAGTGAATATGTATAGATTTTAACTATAATGGCATAAATCAAACTTTTTAAAGTTAAATTTCATATTATTTCAAAAAACAATCATATAAAACTCTTTACAAATTACAATGTGGATTTTGAATGTCCCCCATTTTTTCCTTAAAGATTATTGAAATAAAGTAACACAAAACAAGTGAAAATGTATAGACTTTAACTGTAATGGCATAAATCAAACTTTTTAAAGTTATATTTCACATTATTTCAAAATACAATCATAGAATAACTCTTTACAAATTACAATGTGGATTTTGAATGCATAGACTAAATAATATAAATTGGGTGGACTAAATAATTAATAAAATAATAGATTAAGAGAAACCCCTTAACTAAGATCTCTAACTACGAAAAATATCTTCACGTATATATTCATAACTATAAGAAATCCCTGAAGTTTGTTGTCGTTTTTCATGATTCTTCTTGCGGTTTGAAATTTGATGGAATCTTTTTGATTCCATAGAATATTCCTTAAAAAGTAGCGATTTTATGTTACAATTTACCCCCTTACGAAATAATATTCGTACAACTACCCTTGTGGGTAAAATTGCTACTTTTTAAGGAATATTCTAACATAAGGGGGTTTTTGGAATATATTATGCCGTTTTGCACTAGATGTTGTGTATGAGGGCTTCTATGTTAATGTTTACCAGTTCATGTATACTAGAGTTGGAATCATGTTAACAGAAACTGGAGTTGAAATCAGGTAATGCATACTGAATACTCTATGTAGTCAGCAAAACAGTGTCATTTGACCCTCCTCAAAATAACAGAGTGTGAGAATAATAAAAGGGAACGCATTTCCATAAGTTCAAACAACGTAGCTTCATGCTAGAATGCAATTGAAAAAGTTGTTCATTTTATTACACTACTTTCCACTATTTTCAAGCCATACCTCACTCATGGCTTAATCTGTGAAGGCTTCCGATGTATTCTCCCATGCACGTAGCTTCAACCTCAGAAAGGGGAGCGCAATGCACTTAACACTAGACCATTTTGTATTACTCTTCTCGATCATCCTCCTCTCTAACACTTCCACCGGCAAGGAGAAACTAGCTATGTTTATAAGCCATTTCTATATCTTCTTGATAATTAGAAAATGACTACAATACTTGGGGGTAAGCTTCCATATGTGACTCTTCATGCGGCTCAATTGCTCGAAGGACTTCAAATAAGCCCAACTTCCTTCCTCAAAAGAATTTTCACTTATGTGTTGATTAGCATAGTACTTGATTCTTCCTTGTGTCTCACTCAATAACTCATTCAATTTTTTCAGTTGATGTTGTTTCAACCATATATGCTCATACTTCATCTGTTTTCTTGATAAGAAGAGGATCATGCCCTATCTGTGGAGGATGATAACCATAGAGAACACCAAAATGAGACATTTTGATAGTGGTATGGTAGGTGGTGTTATACCACCATTCTACCAAAGAGATCCTGGTGCTCCACTTCTTTGGAAACTGCCCATACATATATACATTATATAACTTTCCAAACACTGGTTCACCCTCTAAGTTTGTCCATCTGTCTAAGTATGACATGCAGTGGTGAGCTGGTGATGTACCCCCAAAGGCAATATAAGCTCCTTGCAGAATTGACTTGTGAATATTAGATATGTGTCGAAGAGGATAGAAGCTTGGAAACCCATGCAATATGTAGAGTTGCTCAATGAATAAATATTAAATTTGTTAGCATAAATTTCACAACAATTTTCCACGTAGGGGAGGCTCGAGTATGGGCATCCACAATCAAATATCGTGGGCACTTGTGTGTTGAATGTACCATAAAGCTAGGGTTTGCGCATTTTCTGACAACAAAGCAATGCTTGGTCTTTAAAATAAAAATTTGATGAAGCATCTCTTGTTCTTATTAGTTTTTTTTATAACAAAGAACATATGGGCACGACATTGTAATCCACACGTGGTGGTTTCCATTATGCCAGCACAAAGAGTCTGTTGGAAGAAAGAAAAATAAAATAGGAAGAAGACAAAACTTTTTAGAAGAGAATATGCAACTCACGGGTTTTTCATTCCACATGCAAGGGGTATTTATACCCACTAATAATGACCCTTGATTATCTAGTTACATGTATTTCTCCATGACTCTTCAACACCATACATGAATATGAAATTAATAAAATACATGAACTAATAAAATGCACGAATTACCACACTAGCTAGATTAATGTACTAATTTATTTCAAATTATTAATCAACACTCCCCCTTAATTTGAAAATTTCTTCATGACTCCAAGACTTTTTCTCAATCTTCTAAAATCCTCAAACTTTAGAGGCTTCGTAAAAATATCTGCAATTTGATCTTCCGTCTTCACAAGGCTGAGCTTCACTTTCTTCTTGCATGGCTTGTCTCCATTTTTCATCCTTCACGGCTTCATGGAAAGTCAAGGGCTCATGGTCTACAAAGAAACATAGCAAATCATTAACAACTTCCGTTTCATTATATAAATCAGTGAGATTCTTGAATTTTCTTATTGGCCTTTCACTTGAGCTTTCTTCCGAAGAAGAATGAGAGTGAGTGAGAGGTGATTGTTGCTGCAATGGTGATGGTGGTGATGTATTTTGCAGCGGCAATTCCTCATCTTCTTCCCCAAAATACGGAAAGAAATCATACGTCTCTGCTTCTTGTGCTTTCCAATCCCAAGATGCTTCTTCGTCAAACTCCACGTCTCGGCTAACGACAATTTTTCCATTGGCTGGGTTGTATAATTTATAGCCTTTGGAATTCAAGTCGTACCCAATGAAAACATACTTGGCACTTCGATCGTCAAGCTTCGATCGCTCCTGAGCAGGTACATGGCCATATGCTATACTCCCAAAAACCCGCAAGTGATGAACACTAGGCTTCTTTCCACTCCATGCTTCGAGAGGTGTTTGATTTTCGACGTCTTTTGTTGGAGAACGATTGGCCAAGTAAACTGCACATGCAACAGCTTCTGCCCAAAATTCATTTGGCATCCTTTTTGCTTTCAACATACTCCTTGCCATATTGAGAATCGTCCGATTTTTCCTCTCAACAACACCATTTTGTTGCGGCGATCTAGGAACCGTTAGTGGACGACGAATTCCATTTTCTTCACAAAAGAGATTGAATTCGTTTGAAGTGAACTCGCCTCCCCTATCGGTTCTTAAGGATTGGATTTCGTAGCTGCTTTCCTTTTCCACAAGTGCCTTGAACTTTTTGAATACACCAAAAACTTCCGATTTCTGCTTCAAAAAGTAAATCCAAGTCTTTCTACTAAAATCATCAATAAATAGTAAAAAATACTTATTTTTACCAAATGAAGGTGGGGAGATCGGGCCACAGACACCGGCATGAACAAGTTGCAGCGGTTTGATTGCTCTTGACATGGATTGCTTTGGAAAACTCTTCCTCGGATGTTTTCCCGAAAGACAAGCTTCACATAATTTATTAGGAAAATTGATTCTTGCAGAACTTGAACCATCACTTTTTCTTTCAAGGCTTTAAGTGAATCAAAATTCAAATGGCCATATCTCATGTGCCAATTCCAAGCTTCATCTTTGACATCGGCCTTCAAGCATTTTGCCTCAACAGTCTCGAGATTTAGCAAAAACATCCGATTCTTTGTCATAAAAACTTTGGCAATTAAATTGGAATTGAAATCTTGTAGCCAAAGACAACGATTTTTCATGTGAATTTCATAGCATTTTTCAACAAGTTGCCCCAAGCTCAAAATACTAGTATTCTTTAATTTGGGCACATAATAGACATCATAGATTAGCTTATGGTCACCATTTTTCGAGGAAATTAAAATGGTACCTTTTCCGTGAATCTCAATTTTCGAGGAGTCTCCAAAAGTAACATTCCCACGCAGTTTATCAAGCTCCACAAACTTATCCTTGTCGCCACACATATGGTTGCTTGCTCCGTTATCCAAGTACCACAAATTTTTATTGTCATTGTCTCCATCTTTGAGAGCGAGTAACAAAGTTGGCTCTTCGTCTTCTTGATTTTCACCAACTAGATTCGCCTTTTCTTCAATATTATTTTTCTCATTGCGGCATTCCCACGCATAGTGCCCGAGTTTTTGACAATAGTAGCACCTAAGGTGAGATTTGTCGGGCCTCTTTTCTGCATTTATGAAATTTTGATATCTTCCTCTTCCTCGTCTCATGCCACGACCTCTTGTTGATTGGTGGTTACTCTCCTCGTTTGACTGGTTTTCGTAGTTGCCTCTTCCTCTTCCTCCAAAACTTCCACGACCACGACTTCTTCCTCTCCCTCGACCTCGGCCTCTTTCATAGTTCTGCCTTGCACCATCTCCAAAGGAAATTTTGGCTTTGAGTGCTTGCTCTAGAGGTTCCTCTTGCTTTTTCAAAAATCTTTCTTCATGGGCTTGAAGAGAACCCATTAATTGATCAACCGTCATTTCGCTAAGGTCTTTAGATTCTTCAATAGCGCACACCACACATAATCGAACTTTGAAGTTCATGAACGAAGGATCTTCTCGATTACCTTGACGTCTTCGAGTGTTTCACCATATCGTTTTAATTGATTCACAATGGCCAACACCCTGGAACAATAATCCGAAACTGATTCGGATTCCGCCATACGCAAAGCTTCATAATTTCCACGAAGTGATTGAAGCCGAACCTTTTTTACTTTGTCGGCTCCTTGGAGAGAGGTCTGCAAAATCTCCCAAGCTTCCTTTGCGGTGTTGGCATTAGCCACTTTCTCGAACATCGATTCATCTAAGCATTGATGAATGAGGGTGAGGGCTTGTTGATCCTTCTTCTTGGACTTCGTTAATGCTTCCTTCTCGACGGCACTCAAAGCTGTTTCATTTTGTGGTTGAACGAAACCTCTATCTACGATTTCCCACACATCTTGTGCACCAAGTATAGCCTTCAGACGCAAGCACCAATTTTCATAATTTTCTTTGATGAGACGGGGAAATCGAAATGAGTACAACCCATTACTTGCCATTTCTTATAAGAATAAAATAATGTCTCTTGATACCACTTTGTTGGAAGAAAGAAAAATAAAATAGGAAGAAGACAAAACTTTTTAGAAGAGAATATGCAACTCACGGTTTTTTCATTCCACATGCAAGGGGTATTTATACCCACTAATAATGACCCTTGATTATTTAGTTACATGTATTTCTCCACGACTCTTCAACACCATACATGAATATTAAATTAATAAAATACATGAACTAATAAAATGCACGAATTACCACACTAGCTAGATTAATGTACTATTTATTTCAAATTATTAATCAACAGAGCCTCCTACTTTTGCCACCCCTGCATGTTCCCTTATATAAACACACAACCTTTCATTTTCTTGAGGTTCAGTGTATCTTCCTTACGTAGAATTCATTAAAAAATATATGCAATAAGAGAAATAATGAAATGTTTCTCAAATATCACTCGATAAAGAAAAAAATCCTTACCGATAGGCAAAATATGCATTGCCAGATTTAACATGAGCAACACTAATAAGAGGGTAAACTTATCGTCGAGCAATGATATCGAAACACCCATCTCCTATTACGAAAAAAATATACACACTCGATGGATATCACCATTCACCGGGGGTCATTCTCAAAGACATGAATTTCTTCGGTTCTCTCTCAAAGACAACAAAATAGAATATTGATTAAAATAATACACATTCAGTGAATTTCACCAAGTATCTCTAAGAGATAACAAAAATGAGTATTGGCCAAAACATGTACTAATTATTACTCTGGTGTGATAGGATTTACCCTCCGGGAGAAATTGCCCTTACGATTTCTTACGTTTTTTAGAGAAACCCCAAGAAACCTTTTTTTTATTAATAAGATAAGAGGTTCTCCAATGGAGAGGGGGGTTTTCCCCTCCCTTCCCCCTCTCCTCACCCTCCCCCTCCCTCTCCCTCTACCTACGTCGTTTCCAACCGTTCGATCTTTTATTACTTTTTTTCCAATCCCCACTCTCACTACTATAATAAAAAAAAAAGTAATAATAACAACCACAGTAACAGTAATAATAATATTATTATTATTAATATTAATATTAATAAATAATAATTAATAATAATTAGTACTAATAATAATGATAATAAATAATAATAATAATAATAATAATAATTGTAATAATAATAATAATTTAATTATAATAATACAATATTCAAATAAAAGTAAAGAAATAATCTTCAACTAATTCAATAATTGAAACAAAAGTGATTTAATAGCTCATGTGTAGGCAAGACACAATGGAAATATGTAATAATTTTACTTAAATTTTTATTTACGAATTAAGTGTTTGGTTTTTATTAAAATTATGTTGTTATTTCAAATTTATAATGAAAAGTAAAATAACCGTATTTGCTGTTTTTTTTCTATTTTTTACAATTATAAAGGAAATATATTAAAAAAAAAACTAAATAAAGAAAAAAAAATCAAATAAAGAAACAAAATAAAATAATAATAAAATTACGAATAAAGATATAATTTAAAAGGAAATAAAAAACTAAAAGAAAAGAAATGAAAAAAAATATTAAAAGTAAAATAATCGTATTTGTTGTTTTTTCTAATTTTTACAATTATAAAGGAAACATATTAAAAATAAAATAAAATAAAACTAAATAAAGAAACAAAATAAAATCAAATAAAGAAACAAAATAAAATAATAATAAAATTACGAATAAATATATAATTTAAAAGGAAATAAAAAATAAAAGAATGATTTAATAAATGAAATAAAATAAAATAATGATTTAATATAAAAAATAAATACAAAAGACAAAGAAAATAAAAAATAAATATATTTTACATGTAAAAGGGAGAAGAAAAAGAAAAGAAAAAAAAAAAAGAAAAAAAAGAAAAGGAAGAGAGTTAATTACACGTCCCCTTCCAGCAAGTGAGTTGGAAGGGGGCAGCTCAAGGCAAACTCTCCCCTCCCTTCTCCCCACCCATACCCAACCCACACCCATCCCTCCATTACCCACCTTCATTGGAGGTGGTTTTGTCTCCCAACCCCTACCCACCCCCATCTCCATTGGAGATGGTCTAAAATGTTTGAATTTCTTTACATATATTTTGAAAAAGTTCACTTTGCACCCTTGAATTATGGGGTTTGTCCTAAATACACCCCTCAATTATGAAATTACGAAACGTATCAAATACTCCCTCATGTTTGTATTCCATTTGAATATGTTGACGTCACATATTGAATTTCTTGTTGCATTTGTTGTTTTTTTTGGACATTTTTAACTTTTTTATGTAAAGGTTCAAAGCTTATATGTGACTTATTTCTTTTACCTTTATTTTTCCTCATTCTTTTATTTGAAATTAATCTTTGCTCCTTTTTTTTTTCTTCTTTAACTTCACTATAATTTCCAGCTCTAGTTCTTATCATGAGTTCAATTGCAACCGGATACCTGATTTCTTTAAATAAAATTAAGTATCTCAAAATAGGAGATTAAATCATGCTAACCATCTTACTTAGTGTAAGTTATCAAACCCCCAATATATTCAAACTCCGATCCATAACAGATTTTAATCAAACAAAAATGATATGCCATTATAACCTATAAAAACATATGCTCAATGTTGGTGGTAATACCTACACGCAAGTGCAGGTATCGTACAAGTAATAAAGTAGATTTTTAAGTCCAAGTATCGATCCCATAGAGAATATTTAATTATCTAATCCTAAACGCTAAATTCTACCAATTATTAACAAGCCCACCCTACATAGTCGACTTTAGAGAAAATAAGACTTTAGAGAAAATAAACTAAATTAAACTAAACTAATTAAGCAAATTAAAAAGGCAAAAACGAGAAAGCGATTTAAACACGAAGATTAATCAAAGTAGACAAGCCTAGGATTTTATTCTCCCCCCTATGAGATTATTACTCCCCCAATTTCTTCAATTATGCAAGTAATTAACCCGGATTATTATCCTGAGACGCTAAATTAATCATAACCCGCTTCCGCGTGTATTACGGTTCTAATACCCTAGATTCAATTACTGTATTCCTACGCAATTAATTCTAGAACATAGAATTAAACACAAATCTCAATAATGGCTACCTAAGAGATTAACTATATTCATATATTAATACCACAGAGGCTCTTCTATCACAATTCTAATTATTAACCCGATCTTCCGATTCATGCGATTAACAATAACATAAAAGCGCATAAATGGCCAGTTTCATGAACTTAATAAAACAAGTAGAAAATAATCTGGAATTAAAACATGCATAAAATCATAGAAAATGGTTCATAAATCCCACATAGGGTTCCAAATAAAATCCTAGAAATAAGAAAATTAGCTACTCATGATTAAAGAAAAACGCAATAAAATAAATCATAAACGATAAATATTTGCTTGGAGTCTTCGAATTCTTCGTCTTCGTTATTGCTTTGTTGCTCTTGAAATTGCGTAAATGATTGATCCCCAATTGTGTGCTTGGTTTGGTCTTATATAGGGTGAAAAACTTGGGGAAGAAGGCAGTTTCCTTGTGCAATTAAAATCCCTTAACTCCGTTGCCTCGTGGTCTCGGACGGCCGTCCCATATTTTGAACTAAAACTAGGACGGCCCTCCGAGCTTTAAATCTTCATATTTTGGTTTTTTTCACTTTTGGCCCATATTTTCTCCAAAATTGTAGTTTTTACCCCATACTTTTCCAATTCTTCAATTTGTACCTAAAATACAATAAATCAATTTTTTAAGCACCAATTATCGTTAAAACACACCAAAAGCTCAAATAAAATGGTACGATAAAGTGTAAAAATATACACTTAACACACCCCCAAACTTGAACTTTTGCTTGTCCTCAAGCAAAATCTAATCAATAAGCAAATAACTCAACTACTACATCTCATTAGATAGATCAATGATCAACTTCACGTTTTCAGTACTTGTAATTATAATGACAACGCTTAGGCATTCGCAAGCTCAAAATTCAATAGCACTTAGTCACTCACCATTACCAAAAAGCAGAAATCATACAATTGCTTCAAGCATCCAATATTTGCAAATTAAAGATAGAAAGGATTTATACTTACATGCATATGTTTGACTCTAAATACTCACCAAATTATTCTACTTTACTAATATCGAACATTAAGCTATTGGGATCATTGGGGGTTTGTGGCTTCCAATTGTTAGGCTCTTTGGTTCGAGATAGGAAATATGGGTATATGTGGCTATTATTTTTGAATTGAGGTGATTACACAAAAATTTGAAAGATAGACATTTGAAACAATGAATTCACCTCTAATGACTTTAATAAACTCGATTCTCAAAAGTTCAAAAGTCTTCACTTTTTCTTTTGAAGCAATGGATCGAGCTTTTAAAAATAATTTCAACTAGTCATTTCTTCTCCCTTCTAGTCTCTTCTTCTTCTTCTTTTTTTTTTTTAATTTTTT